CGCGATGATTATGCAGAATGACGCTTCCCATGAACAATAAACCATATGCAGTATTGTTTCCCTAATGAGCTCACGTAAGGATGTCCCTTCAGTGCCCGTCGAAGCTGCTGCCTGAACGGATGTCGTCTTCACGACTCCATCTATGACAGCCGTGGCACCAATCGGGGAGGCAGTAGTGGTGAATACTGAGGACGAGGCAGTGGTAGTTACTGGAGACGAAGCGACACATGGACCAATAGGGATCGGGAGTTCGAAAGAAGAGGCCAAGCTCGGAGTGGTTGGGTTCTCCACATAAGCTCTCAGGAGTATCTCACACAACCGATAAAGACCGCAGAGGTAGACTTCGTCCGAAGTGACGGACAGGGAGCGTGCTATATGAGGTTGGGTGGGACCACCTGTTGGTGCGGAGGCAAGTCCATTGCAGGTTGCTTGAGCTGGAGAGTCGGGCAAAGGTACTCCAAGCCACCTGACAGTTTCGTGATGAGGATGAAGTCCTGTCTGACTGAGGTGTCTGTGGCCACGTGGTGGTAAACTGGAGAATGGATTAGCCGGTTCTAAATAGAAGTGAAGTTATAAAACAAAATAGGCGTGAAGAAGACAACCGTGGGGCTTTACAAAGTGCAGTTACCATACAAGATTGCAACTACGGCTGCTGTGGGGAATGCACTATAGATCATAGTGATGCTCGCTATTCATAGGGAAACAAACAGAACTACACCCGCCAGACGAAATAAGTAATGCAGGAATTGGGGGAAGATACTAATTACTTAAAGTAGAGAGGCAGTGGTAGGTCATCACTGTTTTTAACGTAGGAAGAGTCTATCACGAACGCGATTCGTGCTAACAAGAAGGAACTCGATCGGTAATCACCACACGTGGGTAGTTGAGACACTGAAGCCGCGACTGTCACATGCCTACATGATCACTATCCGCTCGGTTGTTCTCCTACACTAGCTAGCCAATCACCACTCAAACCCCCGGAACTTACAACGTGAGTTCCGTGTGTCATGTGTTGTGAATAAATTGCTTGGTGAACTTCGTGCTCTCCAGGCCTGTTCTGCTTGCCAGAGTACAGTACAGGAAGCCTACGTAATCTGCTCACCATTCAGACTGTCGCCTGTCATACCCACCTTCAAAAAGTCAGCGAAATTGGAGCGAAAATCACCGATAGTAGCTTTATTTTCATTGCCTCCAAACTTTTCACGGTTATCGGCCTCCGAGGACTTACTGGACCCCGTGAGAACCGAATCACTGAAAGTCACGCTGGCTTCCGCCCTGGTCATGGTTGTAACGACCACATATTTACTCTTCGCCAAGTTTTACAGCACACACACACATACCGACGACCGAGTATGGTGGTTTTTCTTGATTTGAAAGCCGCCTTCGACTCTGTTGACCGCGTCAGCTTGTGGCACCGACTATCCATGAAGGGTGTGCCAGCTGAAACCGTTTCCATTCTGAAGTCTCTCTACCGTGACTCCCGAGACCGTGTAATGGTCTACGGGAACTGTCGCCTAATTTCCCCACAAGCTGGGTGCGCCAGGGTTGGCCTATATCTCCTTTCCTCTCCAACTTGGTTGCCGAAGTGATCCTGAGTGAGTCCTTACTTTCAGACTCTACCGAATTGGAAGTTATGCCAACTGACCGACTGATAAACCTTGAGTATGCGTAGGACATAGCTCTCCTGTGTCTGACGCACTGGCGATGCGAACATTACTGTACAGACTGACGCGTTGCGCTGCACGCTTTGCACCTTCAAAGGGCAAAGTGTTGCTGAAGGACTGGATGGACACACTTCCAGTTTTAGCTGGCACCGAACAGCCACTGAAAGTGATGGATCCGTTCACTTACCTTGGTAGCTGTGCCCCATTCGGTGGTCACAGTACCACATCAGAAAGGCCCGTAGGCTTTCCACTGACGAAAACACCTATGGAGGCGGTGGGATAGATAGGGTGTATAATGCTGCAGTACGAGTGAGGGATCCGACCAATTCGCGGCGAAGACATTTAACGCTTAGCTGTGTTTGACCACCGGTGCTTGCGGAATATTGTTTACGTTTGGTGGGAACACAAGATGAAAAATGGTGAGGTCCGCCAGTTTGATTTTTGGCAAGAAAGCTTCTCGTGCCTCACTCGAGTATTTTCTGTATCTTAATCGCTTATATGGGCTAGGCTATGCCCTCCGTATGCCCATTGACCGGCTTCCTCGGCGTGCACTATTTGCCGTGGCTGCACCGAAATCACAAGGTGACCAGTCCAAAGCGCAGCATAGAGGCAAAAAGAAATTGACTGAAAAACTTGATCAAGTTGATGAGTGCCGTCTTCGTGGATAGAGTCCTCGGGATGGTTTACATCAATGATTGGAGACATGGCAGTCATGCGGGGTTAGTGGCGTTCCTGTATACGGTTGCTTGCATCTGTCTGTTGGCTTAGGTTACATTCTAATTAGCCTAATACACACCTTCTTGATTTCATTTTCTCTTCATTCCATTTGCATTCAACTCCACTCGTTGTTGCCGTTGTTATTTATCGTTATTCTTGCGATGTGACAACTGGCGCCACCGCACTTAGCTGTTCGGATTAGTTATTCAGCTAAAGTGAACTGAACCATTAACACGCGTTAGCGACTATAAGATCAATCTATCAAAGGTAAACGGCAAAACGACAACTACTCGTTGCAGACTGTAGAGATGGACGAGTTATGCGCAGACAGATGCATACGTTCAAGCTGGTGAGAATCAATAAGTAGGTGAGGAGGGATAGCAGCGCTTCACACGTAGAAACTTCGCATTCGTGATTCGATTATGAATATTGACTTACTGATTGTGCGGTATTCATCAAAGGAGGTTTGTGAAATCAACAAGGCGAGCAGGTAATACAGGTTCCCCATCTCCCGCTGTTGGACCGGTGTCCAGGTTCGCAACTTGTCCTCCTGTGGTAGGAAAACATACACAACCTGTTATCGTGGTCAATACATGCCAAAGAAATAGTACCAGAGGCAAGGAAGCAAAATGTTCACATTTCCCATTTGATCCACTCAACTGGTCCCCGATGTTGTATCTAGCATTTGAGCAACGTCTTGAACGTGCCTGTCGCGCATAAGTCTTTTTAAATCAATGCTCGTAGGTCGATAAAACTTGCTAGCGCAAGTGCATTCCTGTTTTCGGAAGCCATTGAAGTGCGTGTGCACACTTTTTGACGCGCCTAAAAAACGTTATTTTTTGGATAGAGCAGTTCAGTGGGAATAAGTCATTTAAGGCACATACAGATCAGATCACTATGCTTCATGAAGCTGGAAAAATCGACTTGAACATTAATACGGAATCAGACACTAGACACAACTCACCCATGTGGGAAAATCGTAACCACAAATCCCCAAACTGCTCCCCTCTTCATTAGTCAATTCAAGCTCTATGGCGCTAGGAGGTCTCGGCTCCATCAAATACATGAGTATTCGCTTCGTTGCCTTTAAATTGATCAGATGCAGGTTGGCGTGAGGGCACATCTCGGCGTAGCCTCGAAGCATAGCGAACAAAGCCCCGGCTTCGGTGGCGTAGTCTGCGACAGTGCCATTATCCAACAGACTGAGCAGATGGTTGACAAAGCGAGTGAGGACAGCATCCAACTGTGAAGTGAAGCGGGACACATGTGTGGGATTTTGGATGGCAAGGCTTTAACAGTGTTTAAATTACAGAAGACCCGCAAAGCGCGAAAATGTTGGAGCGCAGCCCATTATCTATACAATCCCTTTACTATGTAGGAGGTAATGTGAAGGGGGTAGAGGTCAGGTTCAATGGACATTCACCAGCGCCACCTTCATTCACACGGTTAATGCACATCCAGAGAAGCATGGGACGGCCGTTTCGTGCAATACGGGCCAGTCGGTAACGAGCTCGAGAAGGAGCCCGAACTATCGAGCCAAGGAGGATGGACAAGAAAGTAGCTATGGCAATGTGCGAATTAACCTAACCAGCCAAATTTACTTCCGAGGTGTACAAGAAGGTACTAGCCCCAGAAACGCGACACCTTTGAATGGGCAACTATAGTCCGGTGACAATGTCCGAGTTGAATTAGACAAGCCCTGAGTTTTAGAGTTGGGATTATTATGAATGGCTCGTTGTGCTAATAAACTGCGAAAAGTAATCTCAGGCAACTCAATTCGGAATAAATAAATAATTTTATTCTTGAAAGATTCGAGGCACACCTCTACAGGCATAACCGGTGAATTCGATCACTGGGACCTTCACTCGGGCAGTAATCCTTGCGCCAATCGTTTTTGGGTGACTTAGGAGTAGAGGCCACTATTGAAATTCAGAAAGTCTAGGGTTCAAACTACAGTCCCTTTATGCTACCTGATGAGCGCTAATGTATACAGTGTTACGAGCGCACAACTTCAATGTATGGGAGAGGTGCATCAATTTCAAAGTCAAATCATTCCCGTGGAAAAGCAGCGGACTGTTGTTTCGTTCTTTAGGAGTTCGTCAGTAGCGACAACTGTATCCATCCATCCAGGCTGTGATAGAGGCCAACAGAGAACCAGGTGACTAGCGGCTAAAACGTATGACGAATCCTCCACGAAACTAGCAACATGCCATACACCATGGCAGGCTGTGAGAGCAGGCAAACACAATTGGTCGTGAGTAGAAGTAATCTTTGCTTATGATCTAACACTGTTGTGGCGACAAACACCCATATAAGGCGTGAAAACAGCACAGGTTAAAGGTCACGTGGTGGAAATACAGCACTCACTATGTTAGTCTCCTTGAAAGAGTAGAACACGCGTAGCATTGTTAACACCATGTTGGCCAACTGCTGTCTCGTCGCGGGTTTCGGAGCCATCAGAAGATAGACGCTGAGATTGGGTGTGTGAGGGAGAGAAAAAATTGGTTCGTGGAAACTGCGAAGGTAATTTAAACTGCGCAATGGCTACAATCAAAGTTGAGCGGATATATACTCATCAGATTAATCGCGCTGAGCAATCGTATCGCTATGCGATTACAGAGGCATCAGAGGAGTATGCCGGAATACCGCACCGTCCCTTCGCTCCTACGTATCCACCGTGGTTCGCGCGTGGGCTGGGTATACAACAAGGTCTTCCGCACCTACGTGGATTCGAACCGGTGACCCCCGGATTACAAGGCATGCCACCAGCCGACGGACACCAAATCTGTAAAGGGTTAGTCCGCGTTGAAGGAGCAGAGGATGTCATGGAAGATAAACAAATAGAGAAAAAAGGGATGGAGACAGAGAGAGAGTGTGTGTGCAAATCACTCACGGACACGGCAGAGAAGGGCTGGTGCACAAGTAATGCATCAACCATCGACACGCTTTGGGAGTGGTGCTGGCCAAACGGAGCAGTATGGTCAACCATTCGGAATTCTGCTGTACAGACAACTCCTTCAGCGCCTGAATGCTCATCGTTTGACCTTCGACCAAGTTGCCAGTGATCAATGCTTTGGAACGGGCGTGCAGACACACGAAGGTGGTGAAGAAAAAGTGAGCCAGTAGACGGGTTCCGATGACTGCTCGCTCGGGCTGGTGACGAAGGCTCCCGACATCGTCCTGGACAGCAGGGGAACGGACGACGAGAGAATTAAAGAAACGTTATGAATTGGGCAAGGGAAAAAGAAGCATGTAAACTGTAAAAAAAACACATTGTAATCTTTTAGCGGGTTCGAAAAAATATCAGTCAACTCGGGCAGGTTCCTTCACTTCCCCCGTTTAACAATCATGGTACTGTAAGTGGACTCGCCCCTGTCCACGCGTGCGCGCTGTGTGGGCTAAAAGGTCAAGCAGAAAGGGTGCGAAAGCCGTATTTTGGTTCTTGGACGGAGACGGACACGTAAGGTGCATCAGAGAGTACTTGCTGGATACGTGACAAACGGTGCTATGGGGACTCTGAAAAAAAACTTGATAGCCAACTTCAGTTAGATAGATATTAAACCTTTAGATATCGCCGACGCGTAATAATCACGCAGGTAGAAGCAAGAGTAAAATTCCATAAAGCACCAGTGTCTTGAGGAAAGGGAGAGGAGGAACATCCATCGGGTCCCTGTCCATTGAGTAAACGAAGGTCTGCATTCTCGGTTAGGTGAAAACTGCTTCGCAGCATTCTATGGGCAACGAATGGAATTTATACATCATGAGCACTGAATAAAGCTTCGTTGCTTGTTTTCTGTAAATAAAAATTAGCTCAGATAACCTAAAAATCGTACAGCAATGCCTGTCTATTCGAGTAATAGTAATAGAAAAGGAGATTGTGAAGTTTCGAGGAATCAGTCTTCAAACACTCACAAAAACAAACCGTGTGATTAAAATCCGTTTAAAGTAACCTCACCAGACGTTTAATTGAACACAGAACACAAGGAGTTAGCATACATGCCAGAAAACTCACCAAAATGCCTTCGCACAGTGCCCGGATAAACTCGAAGTAATCACGAGAATAGATGTGGCGATCGCGCAGAAAAGCCCAATTTTCCGCCCAAATGGGTTGCGCTATTCGATGGGGTATCGGGCAGGTAATCATGTTAAAACCCGATCTTGTTGCTTGCGTTTCCATTGCGTTAGCTTCTGACGCATCAAAACCTTCACCAACTGTATCGTCTGGATGTGTCGACACTGACCCATGTTTCTCTGACGGTCCCGAGTTCACATTATCCATGGAGGAACTCAGCGTGAAGCGAAGTGGCACACGAGCTGTAGATACTGCAGGCAAGTATAAGGGCGAGGATATGAGATCATCGGTAATAGATGTTTGGGTACTTTGAACTATTGCTTCGCTATCCTACGATTATAACGTCGCGTTAATGAAAGGTAACAGTAAGATGATGGAACTAGGGTAAGATTCACGTGACCTAAGTAAAGATTCAGGGTCAAGGCGACTGCACCCTAACAACAGCTTGCACGTTCAACAACACTGATTGTTCGAGAGAAATCCTCAGGTGTTCCAGTGTCCAACATGCTAAGTAAGGTATATAAATCCGATCGGTCCTCATAGTGCGGGAATTAAGAGCGTGCAAGTGAATGACCATAGGATGTCATTACGGAGCACAACAATTGCGGGGCAGTGTACTTCAACCTATTGTAAAGAGTCGAAGTTGATTACGCCACCCACCGGAAGGCAGTTCGCACGTTCGGTCATCACCAAGAGCCGATCCAGTTTACAAGACTCATATGGAGTGCATCGAGTAAGTTGAAGCATTGGGAAACCCAAGGCACCCGATCTGAAGTTCGATAACAAGGCACACGTCTACCCACAATATCGTCCTCGTCAGCCGTAATAGCAATGCATGGACAGTTTAGACTGATGGCTCGCAGCAATAAAAATCACAACAGGGTAGAAAAGGAAGTGGGGATATGGTGTGAAACTGATGGCAATTAAGCAGAAGGATTGCATAAAAACGTCTACACACTGCCAACGCCATAGAAAGATAGCCACCGATCGGACGACATCGTTGTGGTCTATACCATTGAGTGTCCCAGACAGCGCCGCCCAACAGACAATTATACTCACGCATGTGGATAGATAGCTTGATATACTCTCGTAGTTACCGGAAGAATATATGAAAACGAGCGAGCCCGATGCGGTTCACCAGACAACCCGGTATATGATGACAAATTCAACTGAAAATCCTGAGTAACTAAAGTACCAATAATGGAATCTCGACGGCATACCCACCGGTTCCAGTAGCTGGACCTTCGTCAAGCACGAAAAGTGAAGAGGAGACCCCGTGAGTAGATGTCACTACCGGTGAATGTGGTTGTTTGGCCTGCATCGCGGCAGCGGATGTTCTGTTAGCGATCAAGATGTGATGAAGTGCATCGTGGTTGAGACCAACCCGTTCGTAGAATAGCAAGTACGCGCTCCAATATCGCGACCGACGTTCCGGTGGTTTCCCTGATATATGTATGTGGGAGAGAATAGAAAATAATGAGAATAAACGTTGAGGGCAACGATACGGACAACACGGGACCAAAGGGATCACACGAACAAGGAAGCGATGACAATGGGGAAAACCATTTACATGCCACTCGGTGAAGATGAGAGCAATCTGGCTTGAAGCCCAGAGTAATAACAAGATGATGCATAAAAGGTATAGGATATTTCCGGATGGAACCGCATTGCCAGTATTACACAGCCAGCTTGGCAAGCAGATGAGAAATATCGCATCCAGACACATATCAAGTGAGGCGAGGGAAAGGCAGGATTTATTTGCAGTGCCTAATTTCAAATACAGTTGACCGCCTAGTTTAGGATGCCATTCTGCGCTCACTACAATATCTCCGGATAACTACGGATGAGATCGAGGACTCATAACTTCGAAAGTTTATAATATCATTTCGTTCTGTATATGTCCTTACTGCGGTTACGTGTTGCTCCTGACGTAGGAGCTTCTTCAGGCAAGGTGAACCAGTACATAACTAACTTAGAAGTTATGTAGCAAATAAAATCGATAGTCACTGAGGAGGGCCCGAATCAATGAACAAGTACCGTAGTAGTGGTGCTGATGTTGACAGCGATAGTTCGACCCCCACGCTTCAACCTGAGTCGGGCCGCTGACGTTGCTGAGAATGGCCGGGTTAAGACATCTCGTCACATGGGTTTGATAGCCCACCTCGTCCATTCGGTTCACTCAGTCGATGGCCTTGGAGACTTCCACCGCCTGGGCACAACAACTGAGGTGTCCCACTACTGCCGCATCTAATAGAAAAGCCCTGTATCCAGGTTCGTTTCTCAGTAAAGTCAAAACGTGCCTCTTCCAACACTACACGCCAAGAGCGATCGATTTGGTTCTGATTCGTAATCGTCAGGTAGAGATAGCTTCAGAAGAGAGAGGAAACCGACACAGTGAATGACGGCTTTCGTTTTGGTCAGATCTCCACAGCAGCGCAGTATTGGGAGAGAGCAGCTTCGTAACTCTCCACTTCGGAAGGGGTCCCAGTGATCGGAAATTGCATAGATTTTCCTCAGAGCAACGCAGACACACGGCGGTACTCCAAGACTCAAGAGTAAAAAGGTCCCACTTGCGTTCGGTTTTCCTTGCGCGTACCTATGTACATCTGCGCACAGTCTTGGCCACAAATTGTATACATACAACTGGTCATCATATCTTTCGGATGTGGATCCTTCAAAATCACCAGTGCTAAACAGAGCGTCTAACCTCTGGAAACCGTTCCCTATTTTCTCCTTGTTTCGTAATCATCGGATCGCTGTATCAACCGCCTCAGGTCACAGTGAACAAACTGAGCTCTTCTCAGGACGCTACAATTATGGGGCAACGCAAGTGCCTCGCCACCAGCCACCTTGCTCTACTGTTTATGCGTGACGCTGCCATACTATTGGGCGACGAATATGAAGACATACAAGGAACAATTTATCTTCGCCCGAGTCAGCAGGCCAAATTTTACAACAGGTAATCTTTCGTTTCCAGGTTTCGGTACAGTCGTCCAAGATTACGTGTTTCATCCCCAGTCTTAGGTGGCGTGTACATGGTGTGCAAGGTAGGTTATTCAGGCCATATCAGTCCGAGTTCCATTGGTTACTCTGCGCATGGGGTACTAGCTGTGAAGAGTATTTCGTCTGTCCCAACTAGCGGAGTCAAAACAACTGGGACGTGTTGTAACACTACTGCATAAGAATGCTCCATTGTGAGAATACCGCCTGCAGCAGGCTACATCTCACACTGTCGAAAAGTATGCAATATTGAGATCGTTAATTGACATGTGAACAGGTAGGTGGCAAAAGAAGTTGTGTGGTTTTGTAAATAATAGGGCACTACAATCGAATTCCTGGGGAGTTCGTGAACCAGATTGATGTAACAAGCAAACAAACAAACGGCGGGACTTATTAACGCACCGTTTGGATTGGGAACACTGTAGGATCCACCGAAACACTCATGCTCCAGCAGGGAATCAGTCAGTTCCACTGGTTCCACACTGGTGTCATTGAAGCGATACCATCGATCGTAGGGATCGTCTTCCGGTGCTTCTGTGGTGGAATGACGCGGGGAAGTTGTGGTGTTTTCCAACCGTACCGACTGACCAAGTAGACCACCTTTCTGTTCAGTCGAAGTGGTATGACCGGAAGGTGCAACAGGACGAGCCACTTTGTTTGGTGGCTCCATGTTTTGAACGAGAATCCGACATCTGTGGCAGTCAAGATGATAGCAAATTGGATGAGTTGTAGATAAAGAGTCGCAGTGGCATACTAAAAGCCAGTGGTGTGAGGAACAAATGAGGACAAGCAAAGTTGATGAAAACACTCAAAATTAAAAGATTCCCCTCTTCAGCTGCGCTGATGGTGTGGTATGGCAACAAAGGCAAGGTATGTTGGTGCACCGATTTGCACAGATGGCACCACGCTAAATGCATCAGAGGTAAGAACGGGTCTCATCTGCAGGTAAACTGCGATGATAACAATCGATACTGTTGCTCGGATCAGCACGCGTGTGAGGTAGACACACATCAACCCACTCACTTGTGCTCCCCTCGGCCACGATCCTTGATGAAAGAATAGTAGTGACCGGCGTTCGCCTGGCCGGAATGGACAACGATGCCCACAAGGCGATATCGGTATTCCTGTGTCTGGAGTAGAGGATTCTTTGAGCTAGAAGCCATGTCCATTCGCATGCTTGACCTGGATGACTTCATCTGAGCGTTCACTGGGGTAGGCACGCGGGTGTAACCGGAAGGCGGACAGGCTTTGTCTTTTGACGATTCTGTCGACGAGCGGCGTTCAGACTTGGTTAGGTCCTGAGATAGAAGAAGAAGGCCACATACCGCTATTATGTGGCACTATTGTCATACAGTGAGATGAAGACAGGAAGTAGCGCATTCTACGTAAGGTAGAATAAGCGTATCGGAAGAATTGTCACTTTCAAACCTGTGAGTGTGATGTTTCCGCCTCACAGATCAAAGTGACCGAGATCTGTCTCAATAAATCGTAAGACAAACTCAGAGGAGGTGTTTCGAGAGAAAAACGGCGCATACGATCATCCCGTCGCATAGGCAAAAAGCAATGCAGGTGGGAAAATGTCGAGTGACCTCAGACTGGAGAGTGGCAAAGTATTGGAGATAACGCAAGACAAAAAAACCAGTGCGGAAAATTAGAGCACTGAGGAAGAAAAACTAAGAACTGCGGTCGGATACTAGAGTCGTGGTCAGAAGGTTAGGGATGGTGCACAAAGTCTCAATCTTAAGAGTGTAAAGCTTAGTGTGTCTTACTCTGTAAAACAAAAGGCTGATCAATGGACTCGTGGTTGGTTCCCCTTTTGTATTACGGCACGATAGCTGAGGTGTTTCCCACCTCTAGCTAACTTGTACATGATGAATGATGATGATGGTTGGTTCCATGAATTGAAAATATGTCCAGATGACAAAGCTAGCCCATTGTCAAACCAACGGCAACCTAAGCATGATGCCTCGGTTCCCGTCGTGCCCCCAACCGCCTCGATATCCACACATGACATGCTACCCTTTAGCAACAAACGTTCTAATGGCCAACTCGGGCCAACCATACTCGCACTTACCTAACATGTGCACCATGCTCGAGCGCAAAGATTCAGACGATCACACAACGGACAGCGGTCATTCCTCAATACTTAGTACATTTTCAGTGATTCTGATTAATGCCAGATCCATAATCAACAAACTCCATTTTATTAACACACTTGCACAGTTCAATGACCCACAAGCGATCCTCGTCACTGAAACATGGTGTTCTTCAGATACACTTGACTCTACTCTGATGATTCCAAATTACCACTTATTTCGAAAAGATCGCTGCGACAGAAAAGGTGGAGGGTGTATTATATACCTACGCAAAACATTTACAGCTAAACCTATAGACCACTCACAATTGGAAAATATCCCTGAATCTATTTGGCTGTCAGTTGCGGGTGTCTCATCTTACACACTGCTCGCATGTATCTACAACCCACCGAATGCGTCTAACGTAAGTATCACCAACATCACTTCTGCATTTGACTTCGCATCAGAGTTGCCACACAGCCAGAAGATTATTGCCGGCGATTTCAACCTACCGAAAATACGCTGGTCATCCCACCCAACGTCTACCTTGCACGCCTCTTTTCTTTCTTCCATCAGAGCTGGGGGTTGGACACAATGGATTACCAGTCCAACCAGGTCCGCCAATGTACTGGACTTAATATTCACATTGGGGATACCCAATCCACAGACCGAGATCTTAAACAATCTCCCTGGCAGCGACCATAACATGATCCGACTCAGCTTCCAAATTAAAATGGTCACTAAACTCGCCTCTACAATGCCAGTTGCAACCCATAAGATAAACTGGGAATGCTTTCAGCAGTTCATTCGTTTCTCCGACTGGGATGTATTTTCCTCTCTACCAGTGTGTACACCGCTGTGGAGCAGTTCTATAAACAAATCCATCACGCTATAGTCCTCCTTGCTCCACAATGTATTCATACCCCTCATGTCTCCAAAAATTCCGTCGAGCACTTAATCAGCAAGAAAACCAAAAAGTTAGCTGCAAGATACAGAAGGACCCATGACTTTTCACTTGTCTTACAAATGCATGAATTTACCACCAGAGTCAAACACGCGCAATTAACACGACGAAAAAATGAAGAACATACAGCCCTACGGACAAGCTGCAAAGCTAGGGAGCTTGTCAAAATACTGCATCGTAGAACCAGTGACCGCTCTCCTCTGATTACCGAAATTGTTGATGGTGAGGGTCACTTACTCCATGACCCAGCTGAAATCTGTGAAGCATTCAGTGACCTTTTGCCACTACCATGAGTCGCGAAGCTGACCCGGTGCCTGTGTGCACAGAGCTCACCGAAACAAACCTCTTAAGCAGAGTCGATATCTCGCTCAACGCTATCCATCAAGTTATCAAATTAATCAGGCCATCTTCCAAGCTGGGATCTGATGGCATTTCACCAACCACCATTAAACTAGGAGGACCTGATATACCATTGCTACTGATGAGCATGTTCACTCTATCGCTGGAATCTGGCCACTTTCCAGACCAATAGAAAACGTCATTTATTATGCCTCGGCATAAAGGAGGTCCCAAACAAACGATTGATAACTACCGACCAATCCACCACACTCCGATAATCGCTCGGCTATTTGAAAAGCTGGTCAGAATGGAGATGATGAACTTTGTTGATTCTATTGGCCTGATCAACAATTCGCAGCATGGTTTTCTCAATAAGCGATCGTGCACCACCTGTCAACTGCATTACCTTAATCACATTTCAGAATCAATCGATTCCGGCTATGCAGTAGTAATCTTGTTTCTTGACATACACCAAGCGTTCGACCGAGTACCGCACAAGCGACTGCTACAAAAGTTGGAGAACTTTGGGATCCGGGACCCATTACTAGGTTGGCTATCGTCATACCTGAGTGATCGTCATCAGGTAGTCACTTTAGGTGATTATCGCTCTTCCCCACGCTCAATCACCAGTGGAGTCATTCAAGGGAGCGTGCTCGGCCCCTTACTCTTTTTGCTCTACATCAATGACATCACCACATCTGTAAAACATGGTACATCATTTTTATTTGCTGACGATATCAAACTAGTCTATAAGTTTCGGCGTGACGAGCTTCACGGGACATTACTGCTCATTCAAGATGATTTACATTCCCTTGAGTCATGGTGCTGCACATGGGTGATGAACCTCTCGGCTAAGAAATCAAGCATCATGTCTTACGGCTGCTGCATCCCCGAAGGATCTATCACCCTAAACAATGAACGCGTCCCTACACAGTTGTCCACGCGAGATCTTGGCATTAGGTACTCGTCTACCTTCAATTTCTCCGAACAGGCCCAATACCAAGTAGCACGTGCCAGACAGTCTATGTTCAATATATCAAACAAAATACACACAACTCGTGCTAGAGTTGAGCTTTTCAAGCTACTCACTCGCCCCATCCTCGAATACTGCAGCATAATATACGGAAATATGAGAAAGAGTGACAGAATTGCTGTGGAGAACCTGCAGAGGTCATTTACTAAACATCTGATTGGTAAACACTCTGCTATGAGTTATCGAGAAGGTTGCAATGAACTTCATCTCGAACCACTTTGGATTCGACGACTGAAGCACAACTTGTTGCTGCTTTTCAACATGTTACACAAAAAGACCTATTCCAACCTGCCTACACTCAATTTACAACATTGCTCAACTCGAGCGCTTCGCAACAAAGATTTTACATTGAATATACCGAAGGCTAGAACGAACGTCCGCTCTAATTTCTTCCTGGTCAGATACAGCTATCTGTGGAATAAACTACCAATAACACTCAGGTCATGTGACAATGTGGCAACATTTAGTAGCAGACTCGCCAATTACCTTGATCTAACTACCCTAAGCTCTATATTCACATGGGAAAAATCCCTCGATGAGCTATTCCAAGAGGGGTCCAAAAACATATAAACACCAATGTTTTCATAACTAGGCTTTGGCCTCAACCATCCGGCAGAATGTTAATACATGAAACGCATATCCCAATACTCCACCTATGCATGTCACCCATGCAAGAGCATGGATTCTTCTGTACAAATTGATCTGTGCCGCTATAGACACAGTTTCTCTCATCAAGAGAAATATACCTATTATTATTAGTAGTAGTATTAGTATTATTATAATTAGGTCCAACCAGACAACATCAGGCTTAAAGAGGGTTATAAAGGATGAGTGGAAAAAGCAAACATATGGGGAGCAGAAGAGGACGGTAAATGTATTTACATGAGAGGAATGAGTGTCCTGTAACGAAGAAGCCGTTGCTGTGCCCTTAGCCTCACGTTGCAGTAGAGACGATGCAGACGAGACAGGGGATAGAAAGGCCTCTGGACGTAGTCTCTAAAGAAGGAACGATAGAACAGAGGGTTTATTACGATGTGTAGAGGATGAAGTGCGCGGGAATGATGAGACCGACGAAGTTTAGTACTGTTTTCATGACAAGGTTAGGTATCAAGAACCTAAGGAGCTAAAGATAACAAATACGCTTTCAGAAAAAGCCGGTGTTAAACATTCGACCTACAAGTAGCCTGAACAGTAGAGGGATGACACTGAAGTGATGTATTTTCATCTACTGTAAAATGCATGGGATTGCGATGCCTGTGCTGAGTAGGGCCGAAAACAGTTACCTAAAGAGGTAAAGAGATGTGTTAAAATGCATAATAGACTACTGGTCGGTAAGAATGTGAAGGATCCTGTTTCCATTCCTCAAATAAGATGAGCTGCGGTGCAAAGGATGTGATTGGCATCAAATTTTGCGAATGTATGAGAAACGGTGTGGCGGGGAACGTGATCATGATAGTTGAGATGATAATACATTCGTGGATTTATTTTTTTCTGGTTACCAGTTGACGATTATCGAAGCTGAACATGAACTAATCTATGTAAGAAAAAGAAACACCCAGGGTACAGTGGTGCGAGGTGACATCCATGAGAATCTTTGGGTACCAGGACGATATTTACCGAAATCCACATGGTTACCATAATTCGCAGTCATCGTAGCAAACTGATCCTAATGTAGGGATGGAATGTTCGTCCTGTTTCAGCTACCCTTCGATTCGGTTAAGCGACCGTAGTAGAATCGGTTAACGGCTATTGTACGTCAGTTTTATGGTCAAAGGTGCAGCAGAGTCCGTTCCAGTATAGCAGGATTCAATCAGCAGGTGGTAACAAACCATCTCTGCGTCACGGAATCTGACGTTATGTGTTGTATAGTTGTTCCCCACTGCTTCAGTAAGAGATGATGCTAGGCCCGCATGTTCACGCACAGTAGATACGGTAGAGAAGCGTGTAGAACATCACCACCTGCGACTGATCCAAAAATTCAGCACTTCACTCGGACCAATTTGAGCAACTGTAATGCACCCTATTTTTATCTACATACGGTTGTGAAGTTCACGAAATCTTGCGGCAAAGCATATTCCATATTGTGTTGCCCCGCTACAAAATGTTGGTTCAAGAGGATTCAGTCGAAAAGAGTGATAAATTTCTCGCAGTTTGCCACACTATGAGTGAAAGTGTAATCAGTCGCCGCTGCATCGAGCACACACGAAAGAAACCTGCAGCGAACATCACAGGAAACTAGATAACTTCAAAGCCGGACATGGTCGGGCGCTCTAGACTCTCAGGCTGGGGGTGCAAATGCCACGAGTACACCTGGCTGAAAACCCTCTAGGACTTTGCAAGATTTCGCACTTAAGAGCGCACACTTTGTGAGACTGCTCCCGTGATTAGAAGTTCAAAATTGTTCTCGGGTTTCTATAACTCTCGTGCAACTTATTGTATGTATCCACAGGTTGCGGCACTCTGGCAATCACACTACTATTGGCGATATCTTCTATGCAAAGTATACTACTGACAATATGTGAGTAGATGTGTGCGTTGACAGTGAGAGGGAAGCAGAATCACCATGTGGCAAATAGAAAAATGAGTGGTACATTAGTAGCACTATGAAGATGAATGTGAATACCATAGGGCAAACACTTATTGATACCGTGTCAGAGGATTGGAATAACTATCACAAAATTCTGATACGGCGCTCAAAGTAGGTCGCAGTAAATTATCGAGTCCTAGAGTACCCGTCGTGTGTCTTGGATTGCGACACGTAAACTAAATTGTGGCCTCGATTGACTTTGAAGACAGCCTGTGCAATTCCGATCATTGGGACCGTACCAGAGAGAAGTGTAGAGTTTCTGTGTCGCTTTCTCCCATTCCTGCACTCCACGACGCGTTTCGTCTTGGTTTGGACTCATCAGGTGGAGATAGCCTGAGTTGGGAGTGGAACCCGGCACACAGTGGTTGGCGAGTATCGCCATGATCACTAGACCATTGTAGTCACATGAGGCAAAGAGAATCCTGGAACAGAAAGTGTTGCTAGTAGGAACTGTCACCGCAGTATAAGCCAACCAGATGAGTCATGTCCCCGTGGAATGGGATTTGTGCTCAACAGAAGGAGTCTGGTGAATTTGCAAGAAACCATGAAGTCAGTTATGAAGAAAATAAGCTGTTTATGCGAAGGAAACAAAATTTTCATGGAGTAAAAATAAAATAGTCAAGTTTTTGAGATACTGGAATTTGGTTCGATAAGGTCGTTGTTGGGTGGTGGTGCATCAGTTAGCAAAGTGAATCCATTGAGTCGTGTTCGGGGTTGTGACGCCAATCGAACACATACGCAAGACTCCACAGTGAAGCAGTGGATCAGCATGGCGGAAAGACACAAGACGCCGCGAAAGTAGTCTACTAAATAAAGTGCGCTCTGCTAGTCATTAAGAAGTAGAACATGAAATGAAGGTCAGTGCGAAAGCAGTGACGATCGGAAGGCGACGCAAGTCCATATATAGGACTGTGTTTGGCCTAGAAATGTAAACGCTTTCTCATAAAAGAAAAACCCGTACGAGTCTATTTCTGCCTTTTATGCCTACCGGTGTTCGGAACTTACTGGTGAGCGACTTATTCAATTGGAGTGTGCTGACGACATTGTCCTAACCTGTGACAGCTCCCAAACGCGCCAAGCAACACTGGCTGTCAATCGTCTTGGGCTAGGTTTTTCTCTATCGAAATACAAAGTCCCTCTCCAAGCCTGGCAGGGATTCACCCCTGCGCCGACCTCCGGTAGGGATCAGCTAGAAGTCGTTCAGGCAGCTATATTAGCGCCCGTGGGAATGAAGATGAGGTTACATACCGTATAGCAAAAACTCGAGGTGTGTTTGACAATTTTCGTCATCTGTGGCATCAACGAGATATCACTCTCGCCTTGAAAGGAAGAACTTATAATGCAGCCACCCGTTCAACTCACCTATACGCTTGTGAAACCTGGACCATCAGGTCGACAGACATAAAGAGGCTAGTCACATTCGATTATCGCTGCCTTCGCAACCTAGCTCATGTCTGGTGGGAGAACTGCGTGAGCAAGGAGCGTGTTCAGCGTCGCGTATTTGGTACAGGAAGAGCGAGTGAACCGCCCAGCAAGTTGATATCATGCACCAGGCTCCGATGGCTGGGCTACGTGTTGCGCATGCCAGCACACCGATTTTCGCGAGGTGCATTGTTTGCGCGCCGGGGGTATGGGTGGAAGAGGAGGAGGGGAGGCCAAGCGATGACTTGGTCAAGAAATATGAGGTCCCTCACTTCAAACATAGCATCAGTTGGTATCTCCCGACTGCCGTGTTGGAGTCCGAAGGACGATGAAAATGTTTACTTGGATACACTTGTTGATATGCTGAATGGACTGTTTTACTGGCGTGGTTGTCGTGATTTTCTTTGTCCTTCCCCGTCCCGTTTAGCCTCCTCCATCCAGCCTCGAGCTCACAGCCGATGCGTAATGGTACCAAGCATATTATTACTATATTTCTTTTTGTCTTGTATTCTGTAATCTTTTGATCCCCGCTTTTTCATATACCTGAAGTGTTGCTCACCATCAGCTTAGGTGCATGGATGATTGTACTTATGTCTCGGCTTCGATTATTGTTCTTTGAAATTGGGCCAAAATATTCTGTACTCGGTCCGCAACAGTGTTATGTTACAACAAACATTTACGCCCCTCGCATTCCTCCTTTCTCTACCCTGGTTGACTTCTAATGTTAATTAGGCCGCTTTTCACATTTCATCCCCAAATTGCAAGTGTTATTCTCTACACTACATGCCCGTCACCTACTTGTACACTTCCAGGCTTCGAGTTCTTCAAAGCATTGTTTGAAAAAGTGAATTTACATGAGGGACGCATGAAACAGGTGACCAAAACATGGGTGAGTTTCTCGGGCAACAAGAATTTTCCACATTACGACGACGCTGTTGGTCAAAAGCGCTGGCGCTGTTCTGTCGGATCGTTTAGCTGGAACAGTTTCTTCTGGTTCTTGTACCCAGCTTCACCCACACAAGGTCTCTCTTTGCCACATTTTAAAACTCGATCGTTTTAGTTGCTCTTCCTCACCCTGTACTTTGAAAGATGTTTGTTGCATTTGGGTATTACTGTTGGAACATGAACGGAATTTTGCGATTGCGTCGGCGCGCTTCTCAGTCACACAGCCTCGATCTCGTATGACACCCAGCCAACCCGTCACCCATAGGCCAGGTAAATCAAATACTTGTTGCGTATGCCCTCACAGTAACTTTGGCGGCACTCATTGCCCCCGGTTTTTCCGGTGTCTGTACGGCTACGTAACCTGGCCTATCCGGTCGACAGAACATCGCTGCCTTTGCAGCTTAGCTCGCATCAGGTGAGAAAACTGCGTGAGCAATGAGCGTGTTCAGCGTCGCGTATTTGGTACAAGAAGAACGAGTGAATCGCTGAGCACCTTTATATCACGCACCAGGCTCCGATGGCTAGGCTACGTGTTGCGCATGCCAGCACACCGACTCTCGCGGCGTGCATTGTTTGCGCAACGGGGGTGTGGGTGGAAGAGGAGGCGGGGAGGCCAAGCGATGACTTGGGCAGGAAGTATGAGGTCCCTCACTTCAAACATAGCATCAGTTGGTATATCCCGACTACCGGGCTGGAGTCCGAAGGACGATGAAAATGCTTGTTTGGATACACTTGTTGACATGCTGAGTAGGCTGTCTTACTGGCCTTGGTGTTGTGATTTGCTTTGTCCTTCCCCGTCCGGTTTAGTCTCCTCCTTCCAGCCACGATCTCACAGCCGATGCGTAATGGTACCAAGCATATTAGTACTATGTTTGTTTTCATCTTGTATTCTGTAATCTTTTGTTTCCCGCTTTTTCATATATGTGAAGTGTTTCTCACCATCAGCTTAGGTGTATGGATGATTGTACTTATGCCTCGGCTTGGATTATTGTTCTTTGAAATTTGGCCATTCTGTACTCGGTCTGCGACAGTGTTAAGCTACCACAAACATTTACGCCCCTCGCATTCCTCCTTTCTCTACCCTGGTTGACTTCTAATGTTAATTAGGCCGCTTTTCACATTTCATCTCAACACTACAAGTGTGATTCTCCATCCTACGGCACATTAGGTGAAGTGTGTGGCTCACCGTCAGCTAACGTGTATTGATGATGGTGATGATGATGGTGTTGGTGGTGAGTTCGGAGCAAAAGACACAGAACAGAGAACTAACACTGAAACAAGCAGTGATGGGGAAGATGAAAACAGATGTATGACGAGAAACCAGCGATACCAGAAAGATGGTGTGTGAAGGGGAGGGGAGATTAAGATGAGCTCAGAAGCAAAGCAAATATAACAGGAGCATCTTACCCGTACAGAGTCAGCCATGTAGGGACTCATGTCGAGTACCCGAGGGAATGAGAAGTAATCGGAGAACTTGACGGGCACCTGACGATCCCAATCAAAGTCAAATCGTTTGAGATGTAGGCACAAAACCGGAGGCAGAGTGTGCACAGACTGGCGTTTCACTGTGCGACGCTTCCGTTGACACCGTTCGCAGTAGTAGGCATTATCACCGTCGAGAATTTCTCCGCGAACGAACTGATTCAATGCCTCGTGCAAATCGTGAGCCTTCACAGCCAAACTGATCGCGCTGAACACCTCCTCCCGATCATACCTTGGGAAGAAAATGACAAAATTGAGCGTCCGAGTGCGGGGAGAGGTATGCGAAATAGCTAGCAAAACGGAGAAGACAGGTACACGTGTGTAATTCGTAGTGCAAACGTGGTCACATTGTAAAGCAAAGCTGAGACAACAACTTGGAGGCGCTATTGGATAAGAAGCTCATCTTAGACGGATTTATTCCGGTAGCCACTACACACATCCGGGAAATGAAGGAAAATTTCTTCGCTGAACTTGTTCGCGCAGGTTCGTCACAATTATACACGGTAACCACACCTACGATGAAATGTGCTAGACGGTCGCTTCTCCCCATGGGGCCTAGTCGGTAGTCTGCATCCAACGAATCCTATTGAATTCCTAGCCCAAAACGACCTCATCCTTACGAGATGGCGACCAAAGCTACTGAGACATGGGAGACGGTAGCGGCGGGTCTTCATGATGGAGCCCGTTGTCAATGGGTATCGGGAGGCGAGATTGCCATCCACCGCATTCCCGGGAACATGTTGACAACGTGACTGAGCCTAGTTAGAAATAAGCTCCAAGCAATACAGAGACAGTCTCCTACTATGGAGAAAATTTGAAGGCACTAGCAGTACGCCAACACACCGTATCGACGGTTCGCCGCCACAAGACCACTGCAGAGGCAATGGGATGGAAATATCACGAGGTTACCCGCAACTACGTGGATTAGAACAGGTACCCTCTGGAATAGGAGGCAGGCGCGCAACGCTTTCAGCAGACATTGAGAAGAAATGAAACAAGCCAGTTTTGAAAGTAGCGATTCGGGAAGACATCAGGTAACGTAGCGAGGCATTCCGAGCAACTAAAGCGGCAGGTACAGTGGTTGTTTGTTGGATTGAGAAGTCCATGATATCAATAATTCTGAAGCATGTTGTAATAGCGGAACAATCATATTATGGTCAAACACACGCTCAATTCAGCAGCACGGGTGAGAACAACACTGTTGGTCAAAGAAATAAACATACATATAAGTACCAATGTCAATCAAACGGACATGAAATCCAACTTACCGGTGTTCACATTCATCGCAGAATTTGGAATCTAGAAAGATCCCCTGATAGATCGCTTGGAAAAAGGGTTCATGTTTCAGTTTCTGATAAAAATAACCACAGAAATAGGTAAGATGGATCAAACGTGCAGATGGACGGGTGCAATCGGATTCTCAATAAGGTAAAGACAAACACATTGCAAATATTTGATTAAACCAATTGCACTTCTGGTGTCGCGGATGCGCCGCCTTCGCAAGGCACACACACAGTGACTACGATTCCGTCGAGATCGTAGCAGCTGTCAGTGAGTGGTGTCCTAAAATCCGTCCAAAGAAGACAGAGGCATACTACAGACCGAGTGATACTACGATCAAGGAATGGCCCAGAGATATTGAAGTCAGCTTAATATATGATATGACAATTACTGCGCGAACATATCCTACTCGCGCCATCATGCAAGCTGGAAAAATGAGGGGTGCAGCGGATGCTTTCCAGGTCGCACCGATCACAATGGCCCATTAAAGCTGACACCAATGAAGCTGCTTGGGTTGCTAGAAAAAGGCATCGAACTGGTAAATCGTACACCATGTGAGCAGACTGCACGAATATACAACTTGACTTGGTAGTGCCCATTGGTGGAAATCTAGCAACATCAATGCAAGCTGAGCGCATGTTACGAGCGCTACAGGCAGTAAGATTAGTGCTGGCATATGCGGGGAGGATGCAAGGATGAGTCTACTCACAAGCACAAGCGAGGATAGACAGTGAAATTTCATCAAAAATCCTTCCGCTCATTAGTAACCAAAGATTTGCTCTCACAGTGTAGAAGCGATGCGTGCATGTGTGGGGACCAGCCTTTGTAATCCGCAATGGTAGTAACCCGCATGGCATTGGAGGATGGATCGCGCTTCATCCCGGTTAGCTGGCAAGTCATGATGATCTGTCGTCGTTTCAGGGGCATAAGCTGTTAGCGGTCATGGGTTCGAACCCCCCTGGAGACTGGGTGAATGCGCATGGAGGACGAACGCGAAAAGAGCCGTCTGGTACCCTTTGGATTGGTGTGATTGAACAATCTGCCATGCGAGTGGCTAGGAGGAGTTAGTAAAATCTCTAAAAACCCTCTTACTCATTAACAAACAGGGATAATAGTGAAGACACTGGCCCAAGTCATGAAGGGCAGACAACTGGAATGAGAGCTGAGTTAGTCGATGAGCAGGGTCGGTTGAATCTAAGGCAAAGCAATGGAGACATAAAATGAGGTGCATGGTGCATAGCATTCGCATCCTAAGCAGAAGCGCAGTTGCAAGTCAGTCGCAGTTCACCTAAGTATTGCGCATGCAAAAAGAGGTAGAACAAGCCATGGTGACAAAAAGAAAGTAATCGCGCTGAGACCCTCTCGCAGTATACACCTTCTCTATTCGTTGAATCGTTTGCATCGGTCACGCTTGAAGCTTCAGAGCGTGCGTCAGGTAACACGTTGCACGTGTGCACTCGTACGGGCCATACGCATGGACTGTGTTCGCGACGTGAGATTACGTGATTGCCTTACCACCGACTGCACTGGCACGGTGACTAACGTAAGTGAGTATGGCTCATACGAGTGCATACGTGCAACGTGTTACAGGACGCACGTGATGTGGCTTCAAGCATGACCGATGCAAACACTTGGGTGAACGATGCAACGAATCGAGAAAAGGTATATTGCAGGTACGCAACTATAATCCGGGTAGCGAGCTGCAGCTGGGCCAGTTGCTACGACACCAGTTGATGGAGTATGCGAGATAAGTCATAAATAAGTTGGATTGGATAGGATTAGCTAGCTGGAAGAAACCGCAAATATAAGCGCCACTGACTCAGCAACTGTACCATATTCGATAAGCTCTTTAACCGCTTATCGGGATCAATCCGAAAACTTCGACAACGAAGACAGTACGTATCAGCCCACCCAAATCCCGCGGTTTACTTCTTCATGCGACTACATCATATCATAGACTGCGTTCCTCATGGTGCTGACACAGCAAATAGTGTACGTCGAAAAAGCCGGTTAATGAGCATACGGAGGAGATGACGTAACAAACGCAAGCAATTCAAGCTTGATCATCACCATCACCAATACACGTTAGCCGAAGATGAGAAGCATGCCCTAGCTAGTGTGCAGCAATACAAAAAATGTGAGACATTAAACAATGTAAACTTTAAAACAATAAAAAGGTAACGGTGCAAATATCACAATCGCGATGGTTGTTGTAAGGGGGAACTAATGGAAAGGAGAAGGATAAATAGACCCACAATACAAGCACCATTAAATTCGACTCTTCGCTTTGTCGGGTAGTGTATAAAACCAAACGTGCTCAACATCCCTCGGTCCCCAGCCAGGCAGTAGCGAAACACCAACCGACGCCAACCTAGAAGGCAAGAACTTCATTCCTCTTGACCAAGTCAACGCTTTGCCTCCACTTAAACCCAAACCCCCGGCGCGCAAACAACGCACGACGCGGGAGTTGGTGGGCTAGCATGCGCAACAGATGGCCCAGACATCGGATCTTGGTGCGTGATATATAAGTTCAAGTACAAGTTTGATGCACAACACCATGCGGTATCAGGTTTCTTTCTATACACCAACTGACGAGCTTCAGTATTGATCACTCGGTACCCCCATCAGATGTAAGGAATAATCCCCAAAATGCCGGTGGCCCAAGATAACCAATCTGTGAATACTCTCTGTGTAAATTGGCTCTCAACGAGATAATAAGAATGATGGTGTCGAATACGATGAATATGAACGCGTTTGCTAAGCTGACTCTCAAAACTGACCAATGTCCACCGCTGACCTTCAATTCTTCATCCAACTGATTGATTAGAGCTTGAAAAAAGTCAAACGCGTCTTGCTGTTCGTGTGGATTGACTGCTTCGCTGGTATCCCAAGGACGGAAGCTTTTCCAGAAAGTCACTGGATTGTAGTACTCCAGTTGTGATTCCAGGAGATGCCCGAACAGCTGTATGAAGAGATGGATGGATAGTGCGTGAAAGCGAGTTTCGAATGCTAATCAGGATAGGAAGAAATTGACATATGAGCATAGTGCTCGAGTATGTAAGGAGAAGGATGGTATACACACTGAAATATACTTCAAGCTGTGACTTTGTTGGAGACTTTGAGTAATATATTACGACAATGTTTCCCTAAAAACCCATACCAAGGATATTTGAGCAATATATACATGAAGAAGCACTACAGTCTCAGGTTATGTGCTTCGCGACCTTGACCATCTAATTGATGAACGTAAAGAGGAGTGTTAATAGTGGATGCACACCGATAGCACAGAGTCAAGAACAGCACAGACACATTGTACGAAGGCTACAGTGCGGCGGTTTTCAATGAACAACTTGGTTGGAATCAACCTGGATAGAATAAGAGGAATTCCAATCAGCACATGGGGTGCGCGCTCTACGGGTGGCGTGAAAACTGGTCAGGAAGTCTCCCACAAAGTTGGATTACGATGGGAGGTCAGGGTCATTGGAAAGCAAGCAACTTTATAAGACCGACCTGGATTAGAGTCACGTTCAGCGATAGATCATTTTGCACAAACCATGAGTAACCTGTGTTGATACACTTGTTAACAAAACACACAGAAAAGGAGCAAAGAGAAATGTCTAGCGACACCATAAGAGTTCAAGCAGCATAAGCGCTAGTTCTCTTCCCGAATATAGCATGCAGGGTGATTTCTCGGATGCAGAAGCACTCAGACACATTGGGATAAAGAGTACGGTCGTTGAGGCCATCAATCCTAAGTTTACTGGTGAAGTACTAGGTCGAATTCAAATGATTCAGAAACAATGGATCACGTGTAGAGCCCATCAAAAACTTTCGACACTTATGGGAACATTAGATGGTGCCCACGTCCCTGCAGGACTCTTCGCAGTACAAACGCCTATGGCAAAGCAAAGGTGTTTGGACAGCCTCGCAACATTAGTAGGAAGTCTCCGGACCGCAGCGGACGCCAACGGGACTGAGTGAGGATATGCGATATACAGTGCTTCACTCTCCAGCGAATAGCATTTTGCTACCAAGATGGTGGTAGCGAACCCTCAACAGGGCTATCGGAATATAGGCCAGCAATTAGCACATGGCAAGTGTACCTAGTAACGTTAGAGGTGGGTACAAATCGTTCAAACAAAGTTACCACAACTAGACAGACATCGATTCGTCGACTACAGCGTCAGACATCATCCCGATGTTAAAGTGTCCATTCGTAAAAGTCGGGCGAGGTTTTCATACGCCCAAATGCACTACTGATGTGTTCCTAAGGGGCGAAAGTGTCGTTTAATGCTTCCCCAGAAGATGGGAGTCTGGTAGGGTCAAGCGGTGGGCAATTACTTTTCAGTCACAGATAAAATGATTGGCTGAAACGAGTAAGTATTATTTGACAATTCCAGTACCTTTTGTGTCTGAAACAAGATGTTCTCTTCGTCCAAAATGTCGCTCTCGGTTACGCTTAACAGAGCTTCGGCCAGACCAGGTTGCATGAATAACTGTTGCAGCACTCCATTCATGTAACAAGTGGCCCCACCGTTCAGCAACCCGACGAAACCGCTGTCAGACCGACCCGATAAAGCAGGCTGGATATCCCACACCAGTTCTTTCGTAGACTATAACGGATGAAGACGTAATGTAGAAATGTATGATGGGAGTGTCAAGATAAGTGTACAACATTGAGAATGTGTCAAGCGGTATGGAAAATGCATTTATGCGAACCGGAACTCACCCCGTGCCGATAGTTCCGTAAGACACGAACTGATGTGGACGAACCAATGGATGATCTAGGCGAAGACACACCAGATAGTTTATCTGGAGTCATGGGACCGCTCTTTGAATCAGGCAGGTTATACGCCCCTGGGTGTATAGTCTGCACAGGATTTTGCACGTGATGAAGCAGGATAAGTAGGTCAACTATCTGAGAAGATCGAGGGATGGGAGAATTGGGCAGTATGTAATGCTGTCTAACTGATGCTGGGAAAATGAAACAAAGGCAAGTCGCAGCCTTAAAGTCCTGGAGGCTCTCAAGTAGTTGGTACGAGACGACTGCTACCGAGAAATAAATCAAAGCCCAATGAATTGCCAACTTCGTGTACTGAGAACAGGGAAATGGCAATCAGGAGAGTTGAAGACAGAAACACTACGCCTAATGTACATATGACCAGTCAAGTGGAAAGCCATTGGTTTACTGGTAATTCCGTTCAGGTTGGGAGCTGGAGCATAACCATATTCCCTACCTACACTGGTGACCAGGCTGAGAAAAATGCTCTGCCTCTGAGCAGGTTAGCTTTAAAAACACCCAACCATGGAGCATACGATACGCCGTCTCAAACACGTTACTACCAGGTTTGTGCTTGACGAACAAAGTTCCTTCTGGCGCGGCCAGTGTAAAATGGTGAGTGAGCAAAACAAAAATATTGCGTGGAATAATTCAAATCAAGCTTCACCATCAGGAATCAGTAGGTGCCCCAAAGACCCATGGATCATGAATGCATCCATCGCCATCGGAAAGGCGATTTACTGTCAAGAAATTCAAGTGAGCGAGTAGTGCGATTTGTACCAAGGTGGGTGACATTCCTTCTGCAACTATGCCCAGTAGGAGCCAATTTTTTGACGAGTTAGCAATATTATTACACATTAGTTGAAGGTGAGAAGCACACTTCACTAACTGTACCGCAATAGAAAAAATATATGAAGAGCGATATACTAAAAATTACAGAATACAGGAACAAAAAACAATATAAAGCTGTGTCATATTATCCAAGCAGTGTGAGATCGCTGTTGCAGATGGAAGATAAGCGGGATGGCGAGGAACAATGAAGCTCACAACATAAACGCCATTGAATTCGACTCTTCGCCATGTCAGCCAGTGGGTCGAATCAAACGTGTTCACCGTCCTTCGGACTCCAGCCTAGCATTCGAAAGACACCGACCGACGCCAAATTCGGAGTAAGGCACTTCATTCCTTTTGACGAAATCATCGCTTGGCTTCCTATCCTCCCTTTTTCAAAACAGTACCTCTGACGCGCCGACAATGCACATCGCGGGAGTCGGTGTGCCCGCATGTCCACATGGCCCAGCCTGGTGCGTGAGATAACGGTGCTGACCGCTTCACTCGCTCTTGCTGCACCAGACACGTGGAGCCTAACACGCTCATTGCTCACTGGATGTCCCCATCAGACATGATCTAAACTACGAAAACAGCGATGGTCCAACGTAACAAACCACTTTGGAGAGGAATAAGGAGACGGGAAGGCATGTGAATGGTATCCTCACCCTTGTCCACCCTGCTCTGTTAAATTTTGTGATAGTCAGCGCATCAGGGAATTGTTCGCAAGGAAATTCAATTAATTCCGTGGGCAGGATACTCTTAGGTCGCTCAGGCCTAGACAGGAGAACGATTAGGGCTCCCAATCACAGCCTATGGTTCAAAACCCGACCGGAAGGCAGCCAGCTTTTGGCACTGGGCTACCTAGAGTCCATCTTACGGAGAAATGATCCATCTTCACCCAAACCCCAAACCTGGAGAGCCAAAAGACTGAGTTCGCTTGGCCTCTAACCATTGATCAGTCTGGTATGAGTGGCTCTGAAGGTGCAATAAGCACCACCCAGCATAGCTCAATGGATCACAGGCACACAAACCATCGCATCACAATAAGGTCCAGTCTGGTCGTGATAGTTAGAAGTTTCCATTGAAACTAAAGTAAACACACATGGTTGAAAAGAGGTGCGAAGAAATCACTTTTCCATAATTTACATCAAGCACTTACGATTACGAGAACGACTGGAGTCACAGTGCGCTGTTGAAAATTGAACCGAAAATGGTCAAGATGGATGGGTTTAGTAAATTCGCTAGATACTCAAATCGAGCAACTTAGGTGATAAACGTCAGGACAGAGTTCACAGACGTGCACACGAAGCACACTAAGCTCACTGGAGTGAAGGAAATCACAATCCGCCGTCAACAGTACTCCATGAGAACGATTGCTCCTGAGGTCATGGGTGATTGTACAAACACCGTTTGGTTTCGTTAGTCTGACCACAGTCATTGAAGGACGTCTTCAACAAGTATTTTACCAGTCCTTTAGGGGATAGCTTCTGTACGGCGTCGCAGACTTTAAATGCATGCTGGTTCGGAATAGGGTGCTGTGGCATATTTTATCTAATTTCGCACACAACCACCTCGCATGCAATGGGAATACCCTGTACACTGTTGATTTAAGCATTAAAGGAGAGCCAGTATGTCTTCACATCAATACCGGGGCCTCGGTTACATTGATCAACAACAGAACTTTGCCCGATCCGGTTCTGACTCTACTCAATCTAAATTACGATCATATACCGGGGGAATACTCGATGTTTTGGGCGGGTGGGACGTGAAAGTAAAGCATGGGGACAATACGTTGCCTCTTCCTCTAATGGGTGTTAACACGGATGGACCGAACCTACTTAAGAGGAATTGGTTAATATACATGCCGGAAATATTGCAATTTATCAAGTAGGTAGACAGTATTTATGACTTACCTATACGCTTGAAAAGCTTTGTCAATGTTTTCAAGACAATCATACCTGGTTGTTAACACAGACGGACTGAACCTACTTTGAAGGAACTGGTTAAAGTATATGCCGGAAATATTGCAAACTGTCAAGAAGGTGGACAGTATTTCTGACTTATCTACACTCCTGAAATCCTTTGCCAGTGGTTTCGATAAAAGATAACTGGGAAATTACATGATTTCAAAACGTGCTTGAATATCAAGCCGCAGAATCAACCGGAATTCTGCAAGGCACGAAGTCTACCTTTCGCAATTCCTCCCAAGGCAGAGTTAGAGCGATTACAAAAGGACGGGATAATTTCACCCGAACGCCACTCTTCCTGGGCTGCACCCATCATTCCTGTTTAGAAGTCTGATGGCTCAGTTCGCATTTGCGGCAACTATAAACTGACGGTCAATCAAGCGACGACGATGGAACATTATCTGATACTACGGACAGATGACTTTACGCAACTTTGTCGGGTGGACAAAAGTTTTAGAAACTTGATCTAAGCCATGCCTACAGGAACCCTCAAAGGAAATTACCACCTTCAATACATACACGGGATTATTCTGACATAACCTATTACCATTCGGGATACACTGCGCGCCGGTGATCTTTCAGAGAATTATAGACAACTTAGTGAAAGGCATATTCGGAGTTTGCGCTTAATTGAACAACATTTTGGCTACTGGTCGTACTGACTACGAAGGTATGACAGCAATTGCAACATCTTGAAACGCCTTCGGGATAGCGGACTGAAACTCAAAAGTCTAAATGTGTCTTCATTTGTGGTATCGCTGAATGTCTGGGATTTCGTTTGGACAAACACGGGTTACATCCCCAACGGGAAAATATTCAACCCATTCTGGATTCTCTAACACTCAGAAATATTAACGAACTGTAATCATTTTTTGGGATGGTAACCCATTACAATCGTTTTTCTTTACCAAATTTAGCTAGTCATCCGTATAGTTTACTTCGTAAGAATACCAGGTGGATGTGGCCCAACGAACAACAAAAAGCTTACGGAGCTGTCAGATCGGCTATCAGTAACGCTTTGTTAGTACATTTTGACCCAAAGAAACGGATCACTTTCCGTTATGATGCGTCCCCCACAGGGCCTGGGGCCGTACTATCACACCAAATAGAAAACATGACCGAGCGACCAATAGCTTTGCGTTTAGAAGTTTGGCACCAGCGGAAAAAAGCTACGCGTAGCTCGACAGAGAAGCTGTAACAGTTATCTTCGGAGTCAAGCAATTCCACCAGTATCTGTGGGGAAGAAAATGCGAAATTTTTATTGACCACAAGCCTCAGTTAATCCTGATTGGTGGGAAAACAAGACATAAACCGGATTTCATCACCCAGTATGCAACGTTGTGCTTAATTGCTCACCGCTTACAATTACAGGATTGCCTATGTCGCTGGGAAAGCAAATAGAATCGCGGACATTCTGAGCCGTTTACCACTGAAGCACCTACCAGATTGTGTACTGGAAACTGTGGAGCTTATCCGTCTTCTGTAACATTTGGGCGAAAATCCGGGGTCAAATGCAGACATCCGTCAGGAAACTGAACGGGATCTATTACTGACCAAAGTCAAGCGTCTAATCTCTCAAGGATGGCCTGACAACCCTGAACCGCAACTAATGCCTTACTTTATCCGACGCACAGAGCTTAGTCTCGAGGAGAGGTGTTTGCTATGGGGATCTAGAGCGATTATAGCACTACGGTGGCAAAAGAATGTTTTACAAGAAATTTACGAAACGTACCCAGGAATCATGAGAATGTAGGCCTTTGCGCGGTCCTAAGTGTGGGAACTAATATTGACAGAGATATCGAAGAGTTGATCCACCACTGCGACGTGTGTCAAAGCACTCCGAGGAATGCCCCTCCGGTACCACTTAGTCCTTGGAAATGGCCCAGTAAACCTTGGGAATGCATACACGCAGACTTCTTTGGCCCCTTGGATGGAAAAATATTTCAACTCGATTGATGCTTACTCGAAATGGGTAGAACCTTTTCCACTTGCACATGCCACCTCTGACACGACCGTTTCTTGTATGAGGACGTGTTTCAGTACCTTCAGTATACCACAGACAACGGTTCCGTATTTACTAGTGAGGCATTTTAAGAGCTTCTCAAACGGGTTGGCAGAAAGACGGTCAAGAACGGAGTACGGAAATAAGCGTCTGCTCCACTGCGAACAAAGCTGAACTAATTTCTTTTGGGCTACTGCATCACATCAAATGAAAATACGAGGAAGAGCCCCGGGGAGTTGATATTCGGACGAACGTTGAGGACACAGTGGCATCTTCTGTTTCCTGACCACAGGCTACGTGACGAGTCCAAGCAAGATAAATATAAGACGGAGTATGACCAGAAGGTTTCCGATCGAAGATTCTGTGAGAATGAACCGGTCTAAGTGAAGTTGCCCAACGAAACGACCTGGCAGCAAGGAGAGTTGCGTGAGGTTGCGGGATAACATACGGAGGTGCCATTACCTGATGGCAGAGTAGTCACTCGGCACAAGGATCATGCACGTCATCGTTCCGTTTCAACTTCGCCAGATGACGCGTCCTCAAACCAGCAAACTGAGTTGACAAACGCGCAGAACTCTCAAAACTCAGGCCAATCGGAGGCTCAGCAGTGTCGCCATTCAACTCGACTAGACAGACCCGTCGACCGATACCAAGACAGCTGGAGTAGTCCAAACTAAAGTGTGAAGGAATGTGGCATACTCACGGCCAAGGTACTGAGCGCTTCCTATTCATTGCTTGCATCCGTTGGCGTGTGTCAGTAACTCGTTCACCAATTTATCAATTGGCCTAGTTTAGAATAGTGGATCAATGCGCTGTACAACACGACGGTAAGAACACTGTTTTGCCTTCTGTGTGCCTGACGCGTTTTGCTTTGTGCTACTTCGGCTAAGAGTCAGCAACAGTGTTATTTCCGAAATCGCTAAAAGGTGACAGGTACCCACATTCAACCAGATTTCCAGACAACTGTCGACTTTCTGATCGCGCCTTTCTGCGGTGACCCTGGACAGCATTCAGCTATCCGTACTGACAAACGACTAGTCGTAGTTTTCGAAGTATTTGGCACCACATAATATTTATTTACTTATTCAAAGTAATACACATAATACGATCCAGACATGACGGGTAGTCTGACTTTAGAGTGTTAAAAATTGAACGAAATTGTCCTCGCGAAAAATAATAGGTGAGGCAAATGAGTAAGTTCTGGCTACCGAGGATGAAAGTGCTTTATCAGAAGATAGAAAGCGATTTCCCCTTTAGAAGTAAGAACACATCAGGAGAGCCAGTTGACAAACACCAAATTAATGTCAGTTTAAGAGATGGGTAATAATTCGCAGGCAGCGGTGATCATACACGGTTAGCTTCTTGATGTCTACAGCATGATGTTATCATGTTATCATGTTATATACAGTGACATAGGCCGCAGCACAGTACTGCAAACTCTTCCTCCGCGGGATAAACCTACTGTTTGCTGTCTTTATTAGTGATTGAGAATAAAAAGTTAGAAACGACACAGTAAGCTCTTCGCTGATAATGCCAGAGATGATATAAGTACTCACATAAACAATCTGATGGACAAGTTCTAGCGGCTGATCGGTGACAATGGAAACTTGTGGAAGTGGTGCAAAAGCGCTACAATTTCAAGGTGCAACGCGAATGTTATGCGTCATCCTATTCAGCAGCGGATGTGTAGCCGATCGGCCCGAGCTAAAGAGAGTTATGTCGTCGGTACACGCTAGGATTGACAGTCGGCCACCTAACAAGCAGTCGGCACTGAGAGCAGTGAATGGAGACGGCAGAGAGTCAATCATGAGGAGTTCGACCACCAAGCTGATGCGGGAAATGATATCCCCGATCAGCTTCACTTGCCGTGGTGAACTCACGGCACACGTACACAAAAACCACGGGAAACGAAGCATACAGAGAGGGAATAAATTATTTCGGAAAGCCACGCAAGCACAAACATGGCAACAAACGTGCACGGTCAAGTGAATTGAAGGCAGCCTTCAATTCAAAAAATGGGTCCCACAACAGATCAATGCTGAAGCCCTATCCAAGGGCAAAATGTGACCTGCGGTAACAGCATATATGGCCTAACGTTAACGTAGTTGGCTCATACGTTTACTAGTGAACGTGTACTATCGCAGTCTTGACATTTATACCCCAAGTGATATGCCAGGTGCGACTGTGATTGATGTTATTACCTGCCTCGGAGCCACCATTCCGATCACAATTCACAGCAGATAGTTTGTCGTCAATGAGAGAAATAAGTATCGAAACCTGGCACTTTGGAACAGATCACCGCTCAGTGGTTACTCAAACTGAACACATGGATGTGGGTACTGCGGGTTGGTGAGGAACTACTCATCATGGGCGGTTTGCGTGCGTATCCGTAGAGTTTCAGCGGAGCATGAGACAGCTAGGGATGGAGCACCTGGGGCACAAAATGCAGACGACTCATTGACCGTCAGCAAGCGCAGACCTCCTTTGGCTGTTTGACGCCAAATCAGTGATGGACGGTGGCAAACAGTGCTAGTTGAAGTCAATTGCTTCACCGAAAAAAAGGCTAACGGGTATTCCAAAGCACGAAGTTTGGGATCGATTGTACCATTTAGTGTTCAGACACCGCAGTATGGCGGTAGTTATTCCTCTTCAATTGCGAGCAAAACCAAGCAAAACGCGTGCGGGCGACTCAAACGGTGGATGGATGCGGCCGTAAAAATGCGATGCAAGACTTGGGCTCGATGAGGAGTTGGGAAGCATGGGAAAAAGACGGTACACGTTATAAGTGGAAACTCACCTTTTCGAGGCTTTTCAAATCCATCCGAGAGACGAAAAGGAGAAAATCAAACGCGGCTTTCCGAGTCAGTGGGCCCAGGTTCTCAAGCAATCGGACAGTTTGAATAGTGAAACAGGGCTGCTTGTGAACTGCTTCAATGTCTGTCGATCCGGAGAGTGAATTAGGCCGGAGGGATATTGGTTCCAAAGACAAGGAAATATCCACAGTAGGTACAGGATCAGTTCCATGTTGAACGGACTGTTCGTGCAGAATATGAGCCGCATCCGGAAAGAGACAACCGACAATGAGGTAGTGGACAAAGTTTCTACTCACACGTAGGCAATTCGAACAGGCATTGAGAGCTATCTGGTTGTTGATGAAGAAAGTCTCGTCGAGTGACTGGCTGTCCGGTGGAGGCAACAGACCGAGTAGGTTATCCGACTCACCTGGAACACTTGTCGGTGGACGCAAGTGGTCCGTTTCGTCGGGGCCTGTGGTTAGGGCATCGAGCAGTGCGATGGGGGCCGGGACATCCATTCCACCACATACAGGCGGATAGGCTCCCGTATGACTTTTACTGTGAACGTCAAATCCAAGAGAAGAGGCCACAGCAGTTCCGTGCACAACACACACCGCGTGACTATTCACACATGCCACTGCTTGGGCACATAATACGCTGGCAGCTACCAAATGGCCAGCCAAGAGACAATCTGTGAGATTCCGCTTCGACCTGCTGAAGTTGGACTCCACGCCAACAATGTTTTGAAACTTGTTAAGTTCACCCTACAAAAAAGTGTAGATAGGATGAACACGGTCATTAGATTAACGTAAACAGGGAGCACCGGTAAGCACCAAAGACCGAAAAAAACAGATGAGACAAAAAGAACCTCGTTACATGACCACATCAAAAATAATGAACGATTAAAAGGCATCCAGGGTGTTCCTGTAGATAAAGAACCACTGCACTGTTGCGTAAAAACCCGACCCTACATGTCACCGACTTACAGTCGAAGTGTCAATGGTTGCGGTAGGTGAGTCACATGCGCATCCATGGCGATTGGCATAGAAGAGCTATGCATGCACTTTTCATTGCATTCCCTGTTAAGTTCTTCAGCTAAATCGATCCGAAGGTTGATTCAACGGCTCTCAGTGAGTATCTGTTTCACACTACTTGAGGAACGGCTTAATTCGGAATTAGCGGGGATTGCGATCGGAGATGGGCTGAAGCACCCACAAGCACATTCCTTTACTTCGAAAGTGTGGATCCGCCCTCTCTTGAGAACAGATGCGACAGCGTCCAAATTTCGTGCCTCAAGTCTCGACGTCTTACGGCGAATACTACTTCCAGATGTCTGGACAGGCGTTCAGCTGATTTGCATGCGGATTTAGATAAGAGCACAGATTGTATCCATGTAGTTGTAATTTCGCAATTCCCAAATGACTTATGTTGGATTGCAAGTAGGTTTAGCTAGGAATCACACCCTTATATATGATTTCTTTGGTCTGGTATTAACTCAAACGTAAAGGTTCATCGGATATTTGCATTTTACGTCATATTTCCCCTCGCACAAATTAGTGCCAAAACTTTTCACCGTCTTGCTAATTACATCAGCATAACCAACATTTTGCTGAGATTCATCGCCCTTTCTCTTTATATATTACTGCCTCTGCATTGGAGGGAAGCATGAACAAGTATATGGATAAAACCAAGTGAGAATATGTGGAACGTTGATGGAAATTTCGCCATAGCCGCGAGGTGATCCCTGGTTAGCATAACTGTAATCTGCTATGAATCATCAACTGGCATGCGATTGTGTATGTTCCAACAATAATACTGCACACAGTTCATGCTCCATAAACCCTGAACAGTAGTTAGTTCGCAGTACGAAGACTGCATCTCGCTATATGGAGAAACATGGTTTAATGTTAGCAAAAGAAAACGTGCTGCAGGCGTATGTTAGTCTAGACGAGAATAGCCAGAAACTAGAAGAAACCAAACAGAGGGACATACGGCGGTGTGCACAGAGGAGGATGTTTCAAGACCACGAACAAACCAAGTGTCCAACCACTGGGATAAAAGGAGAACATTTGGAATGAACTCGTGTACATTTTATGCGAATAGCGTATTTCCTGACAGGTATCATTTAAGATAGGGAGAGGATTTCACATCAGTGATGGGTTTATAGACGAAAGTCGCAAAGGGCAGAGAAAATCTATCGATCTTCATCAAAACAATAATAAAATGGTTAGCTACACATCCATACGTTGTGTCAATGCCTCGCTGGCGGAAGATCATTAACTGAGTGTAAAGTTCCCACAGTGAGTAGTGAGAGAAGTAGACGATGAGAAACGAAAACACAGCAGAGATCTGAGTGAAGATGCATACAATCTGGTCGCGGAGTAAGCGCATAAAAAGGTGTTTATCGTGAGAACATAGGAGGGGGGGTTATGCTCGGTCTAGACGTACCAACCTTCTAATCAGTTTCATCTCGCGGTTAGCTTAGCCCTTCAAATTCAAGTGACGCATTCCAAATAACAGAACACACATTACTGCTGGTGTTAGTGGTGTGTCAGCTCCCACAAAGTATAATGGGATCAATGCGTGGATAGGTATATAGGTAAAGCTCATACACCTGTCACAGAGACGTAAGCAGTTACGGTCTCAGTAATCCGTGATGCAAACTCAATGGTGATATTGCAGCTGTTGGTGACTTGGCGCCGGTGTCTCCCCAATAAGGATTACAGTGATGGTAATGAGCGGATGGTTTTGCAACATCCGTCTGAGAGTGGAAGAAACAGGATGGCCTGGCCACTATTAAGCTGCAGCGTATAAGTCCTCCATAGTCTCCAGGTCCAATTGTTTTCCAAGAGCAGGATTGTGGTTTCATCGCAATACTTCAAGAGAGAACGTCTCGATTGAAACTACGTTCAAATCTAGTTACCTCCACCAAAAAGCAGAAAGATGTCGGGTACCCTCCAGCAAAAAAGGATACGGCCTGCCGCATGAGAGGATGGAGCTGATATAATACTCGATCATTTCGCAGAAATACACTTACGTGTAGAAATAAGGATAGAAACAATATGAAACATAATTGTGGCATCCGTAGATCGGTGTTGGGTCATAACAAAACGGTTCAGTAAAAGCGTGATCCAGAAGCCGTAAAGAAAAAGGTGTATGTCAGTGCACACAGCCAGTGCACAAGTATATATGGGGTCGCGTGTTTCTCAGCAGTACGTACGGGTACTCACCCACAGAACTTTAACGTGGTCGGTGTGAAACCACATGTTCATCAGCGAGGCGGGCGTCTGGCCGAGTAGGAATGAGCGCACATGGAAGTAGTTAGAAGAGTGCATCAGTAGCGTCAACGCGCTTTTAGAATGCAAATCCAGGTGGGCTGTGTAAAACGGTAACCCAGTATGAAACAGTATTCGTAGGAGGAAGTGTAACAAGCGTGCATGGTACACGCGATTGTGCAGGAGGCAAATTTCCAAACCAGTGGACGAATCGCGTCCGCGGATGCAAGTCTCCCCAAAACGTAAGTACCGGGAGGAGAGGAGACTCAAGTGCTCCAATTGACGAGCGGTTTCATTGCGAATTCTGTTATTGGAAAAGGAAATAGGTTTGGCATTGTTTGCGATAAACACACAACACATAGAATTCTCAAACGGATGAAATATTATGAACACATTGAAGAAAAACGGTATGGTGCAGCAGAGAGCCGGAACGTTCGTTCAGAGCTTTGCGGGGACAAATGCCGCACTTTTGAAGAAAATCTTTGGAATAAAACTGGGTTGGGGCAGCAAAAGATTGCCAGTAACACCGAAAAGGTCATATCAATTGTTTTCGTCGATACAGCTCAGATCGCTTCGATTGCACCACTGGGCTCACACCTAACAGATTGTTTGACCACTGAGAGTTTGTACATAACCAGTGCATCTATGTCAAAAAGAAGTGAATTAAAAAAAGGGGAAGTGGCGGCGGTGGTCCTAGACAAACGTTCACAACTCATGTCCACCCCACCACCAAGCCTATGGAATGTAGAATGCTGTTTGTAAGTTATAGTTTGGTCGATTATGTAAGTAGCAAGCTGATGTGATATAATTTGGGAGGAAAAGAGGGAAAAAGGAAAGAGTACTAATGATTTGAATTGCAGATAAACAATTACTATTCACTAGCTGCTTCAAGTACGAGAGGGGTTTTACCCGAAAGCACCCATCTCTCTCCTTCTATGCTACAGTCTGACCAATTAAACAATGGGTAAGTCCGAGGTATACTTGTGGGGATCTCGATCGCAGATTTCAACTCAACAGTCTGACTTGTAATACAGTAAAGCAGGAGATAACAAGTTTCATCAGCTTAGCTGACCGGGAACTGAGATGGGAGGTCAGGGAGACTAAAGCTATTTGGTGCAACAGTAAAATATAACACGAGGAACGCTTTTTGAACGACCCTCAATTTGATCACAGCTAATGTTGAGACGATGAGGTTTGAAGACTAGTGAGATGTCGAATTAGATGATCAACAGTGATTGGTTAGCTTGCAAATTATGTAGCCCAGTCGACGTCCCCCATGGTTCAGTGGCTTCAGTTGCTGGCTAGTTGGCATCTGCCTCAAGCGGTCATGAGTTCGATCCCCAGTAGGGGACGGAGGGAATGCGCACTACTGACGAGCCCCAATAGGGTGAAACGCGTCTGGGGCTTTTCCGGACTAAGCTGTGCTATGTAACTTGTGAGCTGCTGGGACGAGAACAGTAAAACAGAAAAAAGTGGCCATAGCGTTTGGGGAGTCCTTTTTGACGTCTGACTATGGATCGCTCAGGTTATTGGCCGATTTCCTGTAAATTATCGTAGAAATTGGTCGTTATCCTCGTTTAAATATCCGAGTGCTGCCTTCTGAGGCCACTGTCTCATCCCATCCGAGCGAAGCGAGTCGGTATGGAGAGTAACAATGGTCAGTAGGTAGGAAACCGAAGAAAACGACTCAAAAACGTATATCTAAAGTAGACCTTAAGGAAAGAAGCAGGGGTGTACCTGGAAGCAGGAGAGTGAACCAACAGCCGAAATAATTTGCTTTCCACTTGTTCCAATCGGAGGAACGGTTCCAGAAAGTGGCTCGGGTATGCCATAACACATTGAAACAAGAGGCGAATGCTTTGAACAGATACCTAAATGGGGGGGAAGGGAAATGCATTGGATCAATAAAAATAGATCTGGTGTTGCCCCGAGAGTTGTAAATTAGCGTACTGAACAAAATTGTGGTAGACATGTTCGAAATCAAGATCCACATGACAAGCGCCTTCTCGGAGTGCGCAGATGCTGTAGACACTTTGCTCGCAACGTTCCGGAGAGGTGTTACGGATATGGAGGTTAATTTGAAGCACTTCAAGCTATCTACCACACACGGAATCAGTGGTCAATGAAGCAGAATGGCATGTTGCACGAGCTATAAACGTGAGGTTAAACAAGAAGAAAAATAAAGCAGATGTAAGATCTCATCAATCGTTGGATGCAGTGTAAAGTTGAAGCAAAGCGAAAATCCGAATGGAAAGAAGTGTGACGCTGCTGGTAGCCAGCATCCCAAAGAGAACAGATCGCTTAAATAAAAGAAAGCACATGGAAAACTTGGGCGTTTGTGGTTATATTTGAGGACTGTCATACATTTGCAGATTGGTAGGTAGGCTCTTAGATAGAACAAAGAAATGAACCTAACCTGATGGAAACAGAAGCAGTTGTTAACACCTATATACCGTCAAAATACAAACCACTATAGTGTAATGCTTAACCTGTTCGACTCGCCTCTATGCTTGCTCGTCTAAAACCACACATGCGATCAGTATAGATGCGGCCAGATTCGGCCTAGACAAGATGCAGCTGAGTAAAAAAATGCGCAGTGATGCGGGTGTCTCAGTAAAGCAGAATAGAAGTGTCAAAGAGCCAAGGCTCAACTACATGGAGTGACTGGGAAAATAAGAGCGGGGCAAGTTCAAGGAGGCATGCTACATTGGTAAACCAGAGTTCGAAAAAGTTGCCGTAGCGTCACACGATAGATCTGTGAGTTGAAGTATTAAGGATCAAAATAACAAGTCCAAGGTAATAACGAGTAGGTGGATTTTTGATGAAGTGTACTTATTCGCTCCAGCAGCTCTCAATCCAGAATATGTTAACTCTAATCCGAAAAAGTTCCAGACGATAGTTCAGCCGTATTGTGGTTCGTCAATGATGCGCATTCCATAGCAACTCTACAGGAAATTGAACTCATGACTGCTAAAGTTTTACGTCAACCAGCCAGCGGCTTATGCCACTGAGGCACTCAGGGACGGTGGCGGGCAAACATAACATGTAAGCTAGCGACTTATCCACCACTGCCATGCAGACAACTAACCTTGTGTGGTGGCCAGTGTTCGGCCTCCAGAGGAGGTTACGGTTATGCTACGTAAGCATATTAGTGGAGCGCAAGGACGGCGAATTGTTGATTACTAACGGAAGAGTGGTCTGCTTCATAACATGAAGTACATATGAGTAGAAGGATTTTGGCGAGGTTTTGAGTTCGTCGCAATCAACTGACAATTCAGATAGCGCAAGTAGCAATCCAGAAAAGCACCAGACAACCGTTTCGCCCTCACTGAATTCATAAATGATATTTCGATTCACAGCTACCGTAACCGGGAAGTCCCGACACCGGAAGGCCAACCGCTTTCATCTGCATGGCAGATGTCTGCATGACAGTGGAGGATGGATATGGCTATATCGCAGTTAGCTAACAATTCATGATGGTCGTCTACCGCTCCCTATGGCTCAGTGGCATAAGCTGCGGGCTAGTTGCAGCAGGTCACTATCAGTCATAGATTCGATCTTCGGAAGAGGACGGAAGGATGCGCACCACTAACGAACCCCAACAGGGCGTAACGGCCGTCTAGTGCTTTTCCGGATATGTAATTGTTATCTGAATTGGCGGCTGATTACCATGAAAGACATTTATGAGACAGCCAAAAGCAGTAACACATCATAGAAGGCTCCAAACATGAAAACAGCAAAAAGCAAATATGGAGAACAATGAAAGAAGCCAGATAAGTCGCTTTGGTTCAAAAGGTTGTGTTCACGAAGACAAAACGTATCAGTAGATGGAAAATGAAACGGAGAATGCTTCCAACAACAGTTTGCATTCCGGTGCCCATAACATTACCTCAACGTCTTGAAACAGAATGGTTCGCCCATCCTGGGTTATCACCTCAATCAAACCGGCAACGCCGGCTCGGCTGTCCTTGCTCGGTACGTGCGCAGATTCAGTGTTCAGTGTGGTTTGAGACTGTGAAGGTTTGGAACCACGCTCCCGGTGCAACAATGTGTCCGCAATGCCTGCACTCGCCAGCGCCGTTTCCAATAGAGCAGTTAGCAATTCGGCGATTGTAGTTGATGTCATTGGGACCGGCAGTGTATACTCGGCGAAGTATACATCACTATCTGTCGATCGCGACTGCTTCAGACCGGCTGTGGGTAAGCGAGCAATAAGTATAGGTCATTTAATCCACAGAGTAATTATCGTGCAAACGTTAGCTACTATGAGCAATTTCAGTAGGCTGTGTGAAAGGTAAAAAATGCATCTGACACCTGCAATGCGGAATGTGGGTAACTGAAAGCCGTCACAAGACGTGTGAAACGACTATAGCTTTTCAAAGTCAAAATAATCCATAGCGCTTTCAAATTACTCCATAAGAAAATCATGATCCGAATACTGATTTAATGTGAAGACGCAGTCAATGCAGCCTCCATTTCGACGAAACCCGGCTTGCTCCTCGCGCATCTGGCTTTCACGAGTGCCAGTCAGTCTATGGAGGACGAAAGACGCCAGTAACTTAGAGGCAATAGAGATCAAACTGATTCCTCCATGACTGCTGCATTCGGAACAGGAGCCTCCTTTGAAAGTATTACGGAGCGGGTTCAGTCAGTCGGGAGAGTCTTCTGCTCCCATAGATGCAACAATAAGTTATGTAAATCGTCCAAAAGAGCAGATCCTACGAATTCGAAGAAGGCTGCACGAAGTCCATCTGCTCCGATGGCCTTGTTCAGTTTCAGCAGTCTGATCTCACGCTCGATTTTTGCGCGTGAGGGCACATTCAAGGGTAGGGCCCAGGGAGTAGGGCGCTCATTGGCCGATGGAGAAACTGGCAACTCGGACTGAGTAAACCACTTCTCAAAGTGTTCAGCCCAACGCTCCAAGGGTTTTGATAAGTAACGGAAAAGTCAAAACTACTGGTAAATGAAATAAAAATTGCAAAGCGACTGACCCCAAGCATAAAGCAAGTTGCTTCCTCTGATACTGTCCCAAGGGTCATTGAGAATACGCAGCCATTAGAAACCAACTGGATGAGCTAAAACCTAAATTGATAGCCATGAATGGTTTTCGTCTTATCCTTAATAAATTTCAGTCTTTGGCTAATCTTCTACAAATATCATCCAGTGCAGCGGTAGATCACTTAATTCATGTAGGGATCTTTGTTGGCACGATAGCCACGGATATTTTCAATAGGGTGCAGTGCTCAAAAAGTGCAATACCCTTTAATATTCCCGACAAAATCGCTCCAACTTCTGTATTGGATATTTTGCTTAGAGAAAGCGACATGGTTAATGTACCATGCGCTTGCACGAGGCTGAGAAAGGAACTCAAACATCGCACCTGCCCCATGTGGTTCAATTCGCTGTTGCTTTAGCTGCCATTGAGTTTAGCAATAACTGTACCCACATTTCTGACGAAACCACGTTTAAGTCCTTGAAATTTGCGGCAAAAAACCCCTTGCAAAGGGAGCTTTGGCGAAGACAGAAACCCCCCTCCACTATCCCTAGGAACGCCACTCAACAGCACTGTACCTGTGTGTCAGCTACAGCTACTACGCTTCCGGAAACCACTAATGTGCTCGACGACAACATGGGACCTGATAATTGTACTGACATACTACCTACCGACGAAACCACCTGCCCACATTCCCCTGGTGTGTTAAGTATCCCCGGAGGAAACTAAAGCTGTGGCGATTACAGCTGCTGAAATAAACGTTTTCGACGGAAATGCGAAACACATCCGCCAGCCGAAATCCAAGGTAGCTGGTCACTGGTGACGCTGATTTAGATACTTGCGGGCATTTGTTTAGTGACCAAGAGTCTAGTCATACTGATGGTCGGTTATAACCGGTAGTAAGGTGTCTCCAACCATCGAATGGAGAGTCCATACTTTACACTCATGATAAATCCGGCAAAATCAGCACATCAAGACCGTAAACGAGTGCTGCCACCCAAATGGGTTGCAAGCGAACTCTCGATCTCATTGCTATCCACAGCGTTCTAGCCTATAACATACCAGACACTGTAGATGTTCTTGGGGTAGCAAATGCTATTTGCGCTGGATCCAGTGTACGACCTCACATGGTCACAGCCAATAGAATGCCGAAGAGGACTCATGCTTTACCAGCACCAGCTAGACTATGTTTGACTGCCTTAACTCCAGTGTAAACAGCACAGTCCCACAACGAAAAAATGTTTTCTTTAGTAGACAGCAGACAAGCATTACGCATGAAAAGGGATGCACACATAAACACTAGATAAACTCCCACTGTTCGAAAGCAATATTGTCAAGACATCTGCATCCTCATTTCTAGGTGCCACACGCGATCCTCTATTTCAGGACCACTCCAACTCATATGTAGGACCACTGAGTAGTGTTGACTAAACTGTAGGATCGAAGCAAGCTGATTCGAGATTACAAACACAACTTGTGCCCAACGATGCTAACTCCATCAGGTTAGCTCGATGTTTTAGAGACAGAAGCGAGACACCAGCAATTAATGCTTATCATTTCTCCAGGAATGGTGCTCATTGGTTGAATTCCTACAAGATGATAGAGGCTGACACGCCTAAAGAAGGTTATGCTCCGTTTGGTAGACCGCTCCCTTGTGGCATAAGTGAAACAGGACTCTACCATCAACCAAGCAGTATGGACGCTCTGAGAGATGCTCCTGGAGCTTCGATGAACGTTATAAATGCACTTGACGATAAATCCTCGGGGATTTTGTTAGGCACTCTGAGCGGGTGATGTTGTTAAAGTGGACGTTAACAATAACAATATGCATCAAAGCAAGATATGTGGCTCTTGGGGACAACCGGACATCAAAGTGGCGCTAAAGCAGCAAATCATAGGAAAAACAAACATGGCTCCTTTTGCGCGGTTAGCTAACCCCTACAAACATTGGGACATCTGTGACACATTTCGACCCAAGAAAAACACCACCGCGCACCAGAAACTTCCATGATGATACTAGCCGCACAGTCTCCGACAATTCGCTTGTGGAGAATGTCCCCGTCGTGATAAGTGGCAATTTGCATAACTATTCTGGAAAGCAGTGAAATGGTTATTCTCAACAAGGGGCCGGCCAAATCTCAAAATGGGGGCAAAGTCCGCACACAACATCGATGACACCGACATACAGTCACACAGATCACCATAACCATTTTACTCTTGGCTAGACACAATTTCGCTCCTCTCTGACAACGCTATTGTTGAGATAAATGAGAATACCCGTAACTAAGGGTGTGAATACGGGTTTCCAGATGTTCTCTGAGCTGAGTGATTATTTTGCAGACGTTTCATTGCCGGACAAGGCAACATCATCAGTGCGGCTTCGGGGGCCTGGTTCGCAGTACCTCGTAAGCAACTTCAATGTCCAAGTGCCTATTGATACCAGGCTTCAATGAATCCAGGTGCTTGCCGGCTTTTAGCCCTTCCCAGGATGGTAGCGTGCTCCAGCTCGAACTGATGGTTCTCGGCATCCATATGCACTGACATCAGGGAGTTCTGATCGTGGCGACGAATGACTAGGCTGTGTTTGTGTAACCCTGTGCCAAGCATTTTCGCAGTCTGTCCCAGGTAGTAGTTGTCGCAGTTCCGGAAGCAGATCTTATAAATCACACCAGTTTCTTCCTCTTTAGTAGGTTTGTCTTCTACTTTGAAGAATTTACTGTGAATTGTTCCCGTTGGCTGGTGCGTAAATTTGACTCCAAAAGGTAATAATAGCCACGTTGCCATTTCAGAGATTCCGTTGACACAGGGCAAAGTGGCTCTCTTTTTACTGTTGCATTTGTCGAGGTGTGCTGAGGAGCCTTCTGTTGTTCCGATAGATTTTGCCATGAAATCGTTAGCGCCAACTCTGCCAACAAATTAGCTAGACCCAACACTACCCCCCCCCCGCAGTAGAAGTGCATTATCTGTTGCACAGATTAATGTTCGCTCAGTTTCATCCAAAATGACCATCATGTCAACTGTTAATCCTTACATTATCATTATCATCACTGCATTGATGATACTCCAGATGAAGATAAGTCGCTTTTCAGGTATAATACGTTCAAAAAGAACCGCCAGAAGCGTCGTGCGGAGGCTGCATTATCTTTGTGAAGGAATTATACATGGCAATAGTCTTCGCATCTGCAGTATTACGTTACATGGAGGGTTGCATTTGGATCATGATCCCTGTATGTATATATATATATATATATATATATATATATATATATATATATATATATATATATATATATACCGTTGGCGGCATCCGGTTTCGGATTTGCTTGCCACTGTGGCCAGCCACAGGACGCCTGCGCCTACAGAGGGACCATGGGTGGCTTGCGCTGCACCACCCACAGCTCCAATCACACACTCCATATCCAGTGTAAACCCGAAGGAATAAGACCGGGAGGCATGTGGATGGGAGCCACGTTTCATCAACGAAGCCGGCCCACACTCCTTCACAGGCAAACACAAGCACGCTGTATTTGGGGAATCAACCGCACACAAGGCGGTGGCTGGACCGTAGTCCGCTCCACACTGAGTGCATGGAACCGCTCTTTGAGCCTAGCGCGGCCACAAGGACCGTGCACCACGTCCCCTCCAGCAACGACCAACTGTCTCCTGGAGCCAGTATGAACGAGGTAGTGGGTAATAGACAGGTAGGCACCTTGTTAACATGCACATCAAGCGCAGCCACACCGGTGATATCAAGCAACAACAATTCACTTGAAACGACAAGATGAAATAAAATAAATCTAATAATGCACACAGATGCGGTGGCATAACTCTTCGCTAAATTGCCATATGAAGTAAGTTGGTTAGCAACGAATCTGCGATAGGTAAGAAATGTCCACAAGTTACTTAAAAATGCTACAAACGCAACAAAAGTACCGAAGATAAGCGCAATTAGCGTAAGCAACGTGGTCAGTTAATAGAAGATTATTCAGATAGGCAAAACAAACCAAATAAAGTGGAATGAAGTTTATGCAGCTTAAGGAGACCTAGTTTAAGTGTAAGTTGGTTTAGCCCAACTGCAGTGAAGAAGCATCATGAATGCAACATCAGCCTCAGCATGGGGCACAAGCGAGAGTATATATCGCTTATTAACAACAACTACACTGGAGTGAGTCACTCAGTTGCTATTTGAGTACCAGCTCATCGCAGGGGATTTCAATCTGCCACATATAATCTGGGCAGATGACACCGCACCAGATAGCTATCGGGAGTTTCTGTTTTGCGTAGGTCTTGGTGGATGCCAACAAGAAACTCGATCCTTCACTTGAGAGAAAAAACACTCTAGATTAATGTTTACTTTGGTGATTCCCTCAGCTGCTACAAGCGTATTGGACTATTTTCCTGAAAGCGACCACAGGAATAAAGAATTTTGTTGTACACTGATACTGAAACGTTCCCGACAAGCCAAAAGTTTTCGCCCATTCAGTTTGATTAGCTGCGACACATTTCTTGCCTTACTAAGATCTATGAAATGGGAGGGATTCTTCATATTCTCTTTTGTACAAGAAACAGCAAACTGGTTTCATGATAACGCATCAATGCATCGAGATAGTTGCGACACTAGAGTAAAAGAAATACAACAATAAGGGACGCAGTAGGGTCGCGAAGTAGACGCTACGTAAATTACACCAAATCGGACAAAAATTCAGGCACAACACAGATTTTCCTTCGTTGGTGCAACAATTAGCTATGGTAGAAGAGATCAGGCTCCAGAACAAGCATCAAGCTTGAGTTGAGAAGCACAATGCTCTGCCAACATTTAATAAACTTGAGAACCTTTCTAGACCGTTTCGTGCACGAATCTCCAGCACAAAGGATACCACTCGATTTGTAATCATGTCGGTAAAACATATGCTGAGAAAAGTGCAGATTTATATGAGGCATTCAGTTCATACTAAGTGACCTCGTTAGCTACAGAAATAATAACTGAGTAGCTACGCTTTGAATCACTCACGAGTGCTCGGCTATATGATGTCGACTTCGATACGAGAACGATTGCTTCTCTGAGATCACGTTTAAAACCCCTCCTGCTTTCAGGGTCCCGATGGGTTGCTGACAGTGTTAGTTACATACGGAAGCCCAGACATTCCCATCTTACTGCTCAAAAGGGTTAGACTTTTTCCTAAATCTAGTTGCTATCCGATGCAGTGAAAGCACGTGATAACAATGTTGTAGCACAAATGTGGGACTTCCTAGAGTACTGAAACTATCGCCCTATAAATCAAACGTTTATTGCCTCGAGTAAATGGAGAGAATAGCACATGAACACCGGCTACCGTCCGGGTCAGAATACGAACCAATGGTAAATCTTTCCGACAAAAGATCTGTTAAACGGGTGCTGAGGGAGAAAGTTCAAACACCTCACCCTAGGTTAAGCAGCTAGTCAGGCGTACTGTTGGCGACCTCTAACACTGACAATCTCATGCCTGTCTGCCTTCCGTTAACACCAATTTGTCAACCTACTCGGAAGCCTACCTGTGCTCCATAGACGCATACACCTAGCTTTGTGTCTTCATCCAGGGAGTCCGATTGCTAATGTCCCATGATCAATGAGAGTGTCACTGATAGTGCGTGCATGGAATTCTCAGGGGAAGAAGTGATGGATGCCGGCGTGGACTTGAATAAACAACATATTATTTTGATACTTTAACAAGCTAACTTATTCACGCTACACGTGAAGTTGTTTGTGCAAATTTAAATAATTTATTCACGATGATCGTTGTCGTCCCGGTAGCACTGTGGTCTCAAACACTGACTGGCAACTGCCGAGTTGCTTGGTTGAGCCCTACCATTGTCCGATGGGATGCGCGTTGCTAACGATTCCCGACAACAGGAGTGTGCGTACAGTGGTTTTGAGGGCCTGTCATGGCTCTCTGAGTGCGTCTAGATGTTACGAATTTCTACCTATACCATTCAACTCCTCCTACTACTTCGCTGTACTTGTAAAGTTACCAACAGCTGAACGCCGTGAATAACATGCAGGGAATTTGCGTCGACGAATGAATGCTGAAATACTTCGCGCTTAGGCACGATAGCTCGCACTGAGGTGTTGTTGGATTCGCGAAACAGAACCAAGTCGCGGCACTACAGATTGTTGAGATACAAGGAAACTGAATCATTTCCAGTAGAAGGGAATTGAAAATCCGCACAAACTCGAGTCGTTGGCTGTCTCAGTTGGGATACTGCCGTGATGAAATGAGGCGAACAATACGAACTGTTTCGCGTGTGTGTGTGTGTGTGTGTCAGAGATTGGTGAAGCTGTCGGTCAGCGAAGACGGGTATAGAGAGCAATCGTTTGACACGAGGGCATTTGGTTGACATCCTTCACATTCCGGAATAGCACAACTGAACGAGACAGCACGATCGGTCAGGCTACAGAGGATGAGTCTAAATACTCTAAGGTATGTGCAAAACTGATGTCCACATAAACACCGAAGAGAAACTACGTTGGTGTCCGTCTTAACACAAATGCGTTGGTCAGAGTTTTAAATAGTAGTCAGAAGTTGCATAACAGAGAAGATAATTCAGTATTCAATATGCACAACCTGACTTTCAGAACATATAAAAGCTATATCAATTACCTAGATACACGCCGAAGTGTAAGGTAAAAGAAAAATACGGACGGGTGGATGGAGAGTGGTGGGTGGAAGACAAAAACATGGGGAATCTTCTGTATCGAAGACGCACATGGGAACGAATAAGTCTATGTATGGTTGAAGGAATCCTGTTGGTCCAATGTAAAGTACACATCGCAAACTCGAAAGAGTGGGGGATGTAGAAAATTTTCGAAGAAACGGTAAGGAATAAGAGGATTAGGGCGAATCCAAAGTACGTCAATTATGATCTAAATGGTTGACGCGATATCGTCAGAAATGTAAAAGCTAGAACCAACCACAAAGCTCCAAAGACAGTCGTTTATGCAGAAAATGAAATCGATTCATCCTCCTGTCGAATATACAATGCAAGCGTGACAGCCAATGCTAAAGCACAAATTTATCACACGAGAGTAACCTGAACGTCGGGCTTCCTGGTGCGTCAGTTAGAGTGCTCGGTGGACATTTTCGTAGATCATGCACAGTCCAAATCATGTGTGCCCTACTTTATACTGCAGCTCAGCAGCAACACCAACCTGATAGAGCATTACTTGAAACTGGCACAACAGTACAACCGTCTGAAATGTGTCGGAGATATCGCTTCAGTTCTTGTATCTTTTCTCCGGGATGGATTCCCTGAATTGGTAGTTTCCGCAACAACACTAGACAGAGTTAAAAGATGGTTCCAGAGCTCACTAGCTCACCTGCATTTGCACTTGGCATTCTTGTCCCGTCTCAGTTCTGGGAAAACGCTTGGAGTCACTAGTCATGTCCTACTCGTGGTGTGAAACAACGCGGTTCGCAGAACCTCGGCATCACAAACCTAGCAGACTATCAAAGGGGGCAACGCTTTTTAACCCACGTTAAACCATGCTACATAGTTCAGTGACCTTGGTGAAAAAGTGCGATTAATGAGTACTCTTTGTACACGACATTGAAAGGGGCATCCCGCAGAACGAATGTTGCACAGAATTTTTTGGCACAAACTCCAAAAAGGACAATAACTAGGTAATTCGACTGAAACTCATACATTGTGCTTCACGTACGCCGATTTGAAAAGAGAGTTTGCGCACTGATGGTGTCGACATGGTTTGTGACTGCACTGTCAATGATACTTACCGGCAAGGCTTCCGTGTGGATTGAGCAAGAAGGACAAAAGTTGAAGGCATAAGTGACGGACCTCACGAACCCACCAAGCAATATTGCTGGAGGCAGTTGCATTATTGAATTGAGTCTTCAAGCAGTCGGCTGAGGCGCGTGCACTCAATCGAGGGAGCGAGGAGAATTCTTGATACTCTGTAGAAGAGTGCCGGTGAAGTAGCTGAACAAGTGGTTCCAAGAATTCTCCTGGGGGAGACTTCCGCGACAAGGCTGGCAGCTGACTGGAGTGCTAAATAAGGTGTATGAAACAGATAGGGGGTACTTTTTGAGACAAAAGTGTCGCCAAAATGTGGAACAAATTAGGGACGGTGCGATCACATTAGTGGATTTTATTGCGACAGTTTTGTTCATCTTTGGTGTAAAACAGTGGGTCCCCTTCAGCCATTTAGTCAGAGCAGTGAGAAGACATATGTTGCGATATGTTAACATTTCGATTGTTCTCATCAGTCGCAAAACACAATACAAGCGGGATTCATGGACAGTTATATACAGGGAGAAAAGGTTGATACACCAATCAAAATGTTAAAATCAAGACCACGGTAACTTAACATTTTGCGCGGCTGTTGGAAGCTCGGAATTCAATTCATCCAAACCTATCGGTGTCCCATGAGTTGGAGCAACATGATAGTCTGCCATTTTTGGATATACTCATTAAGAGACGGACTGATGGTACACTGCAGCGCACGGTTCATCAGCGCAAGGCAACTTGGATGGGCAGTACCTCCACTTTTCCAGCTTTGCCCCTGTCGCATACAAACGTGGCCTAGTGAAAAAACTCTACAGAGCCAGACGAATATGCAGCCCGAAACTGTTGCAAGCTGAAGAAGAATTTTTGTTCAAAAAACCTTGGTGTCGAATGGGTATCCTGCGAAGTTCGTTCAGATCCACAGCAGGCCTCCCAAGGAGAAAATACCGGTGTTAACCGCAGAGAAAAAGAATGTTTACTTGTTCCTGCCGTTCAAAGGAGACCACGTATCAAATGATATCGGACATAAACTCCGGTCCGCCGTCACGCGTATCTACGCGACCGCCCAGTTGCTAATCATACATAAAACGCGAAGCCCTGTTCTTCATGACCGTCCGAGCAACTCATCAGTCAGTTCGGCCTTTCACGACATTTACCAGTTCACCTGCGGTTGAGGTGACATTCACATAGGCAGGACTGATCGTTCTTTAGCTCAGAGGGTAGCCGAACATGTGCTGAGGTGGCTGGGACAACTGATAACACAACAAAACGGAGTGGATCCGAGGATGAACCGGAGCCCAGCATCACCTATCACCAAGCCTCTCTTGGCAACTCGACATCAGGTGAACCCGGAGGCTGCGTTCAAGGTGTTATTACTCAACAACAATCCGATAATTTCAGCAATTATTGAGGCTCTGCTAATTAGAGCTTATCAATCTGTGTTTTGTGCACAGAAACTATTGAGACAATCAATTAAGTTACTGTGGTCTTGAGTTTAGACATTTTGATTGGTGTATCAACTTTTCTCCTGTATATAACTGTCATGAACCCGCTTGTATTGTGTTTTGCGACTGATGAGAACATCGAAATGTTAACACTAAAGGTCACTTTGGTGATGTATCAGGCAAAGTATCGTGCAAAATCAAGCGGAGAAGCAATGAAACCGTCGTGTTTTGTAAAAATGCCACCAAGAATCTGGCACCGTGGTTTGTAGTCCATCCCTCATTGCCGGGGACTCTGATGGCGCCAAAACGGTTCTGTCTATCTCCTGCTGGGGGTAAAACGGCCGCCCCCGCCGTCCCGTTTTCCAAATTTCTCACGGCGTGCAGACGCAAAAGGGGAGGAGTCCCAAGTTTTAGCGCACAATAATGGGTAGCGTGGGATTTTTGGTACAATGAAGGGGTTAAGCAGACTTCAGGGAACTATAGAGGTTGAGAAGAGGTAAGGAAAAGGTAACCCTCAGCTTCACTGGGCGGGATTAATAAGATAAGCCAAAAACAGGGGTGACCCCCGTGTCCGAGTCCACATCCACCGGACGAAAAATAAGCATGTTAAGTGAGGATCTATGATTTGGGGCTAACAACCGAGGCAAAGCCCCCAGCAAAAACGGGACTCACAGTGCTGTTCACGTGACAGGAAAGGTAAATGGAGAGGAAAAGTGGCAAAGTTTACAAATTAGGGGGGGTCACACGAAGACTGACCACACATCTAGGGCTCCCACTACGGAGATATATGTAACCATCAATGCAGTTTAATGCGCTCATCGAGTGGTGGGTGTTACTCCGTGTGAGGAAAGCAAAAGAAAAATGAGAGCAGTTCACGTGTGGGCATGGGCGAGGCCGTCCCATCCTCCACGGTCAAGCGTCCCTTAATCGGGAACTCGAGACCCATGACGGACAATATGTGTGTGGAACCACGGGTCAGATTAAAATATGACCCGACGGAGGAAGAAGCCATCTACTGCGGCACCCACCAATACACTCACTAAGAGGACAAATAAAAGTCGCGCATGTATAGAGCGGAGCGGAGATAGGGAGTAACGTTCACTGGGTGGGCAGGGGCAGTGAGAAGGGGTTTTGAATAAGAGTCATAAACGTGAGGGCAAAAGATGGTTATCTATCACGTTCCGATTTTTTTTTCAAAACCAGGTCTCTCAACATGGAAGTGAAAATAATGCTTAATTGTGCGACGCCATAAGTGTAGGTCACTCCTAAGTGTCTGTGTTCGGAACTGCTGTCTCCATTAAACGTGGGTTGCTTTTCTACTGCGGGTGCTTTGGAGAGCACAAAGTCAGTTCGCATGCTTCTGTGAACGAACACCTCGGGATGGCCGTCAGAGAGACTACCGATTACCTAGTCGAATATATCGAGTGCACGGGTACAAAAGTAACCCAATCGGTAGAAGAATGAAGACGAACACAACTCAGCTCATGCACGGAACACAGATTCAGCCTCCGAATCGATCCGCCCAAACCCCAACAAGACCTCCGACGAAGATGCATTCCGATGACAACTCAGGCGTCCATTAAATAAAACACGTGGGTATTAATATGTCTGCTAACGACCTAGTGAGATTAGCCAGTCACCGTCCTGGTCTGAGGCTAGAACGGATTGGCATACGCCATTCTGAAATCAAAGCAACGGCTAATAATAAATCCACATTTTTGTAGGGGAAGCCCCGCAGTTTCCCAGCAGCGTGGCTGACGGATCCGTGGATCAGCTTGAATCATTAGGGAAATTCAATCGGGCCCACGGGAAAATTCAGTTTTGCGTGCAAACTGAGTTAGATGAAAATCTGGTTTTCCAGGAAGTTCAGATATCACGTCGACCAGCGGGCTTGCTGCAGCGTAAAATCCACAGAAGGACGAATGGAATGTTGCCTCTAAGATCACTGGTCAATGTGTAGACCAGAGTTAGACAAATGGGGAACTCAGGAACCATCGGACGAGAGACAAAGAAGGGCGTGCATCGGTACAGACGGCCGGTCCAAGAGAGCGCCGTAAATGGGGCGGGGAGGTGAAGAGGAAAAGTGGCAAGCACGAGCCTGATGAGCAGGTGGAGCACCAAACGAAAAGCAAACGGTGGGTGACCACGGAACAAGAGAACGAGACTAACCATCCAGGATCCCGAACGTTACCCAAACGTAACCGGCAACAAGAGCCCGAGCAAGGCAAACCAGGCAATTACGAACGCACAACGAGTCAGACTGGTAGTTGGGGTCCAGGAAGTGGGCGTGGATGTGTGGCGCGGTTTGGTTTACGACGCTTTGAGCCAGTCTCATAGCTGGTAGGGGTGGTTCCACGTCACGGTATGGTTGTATGTTAGCGTTGTCAAAGGCGTATGTACCGTTGTAGTGTCCTGCATGTTGCGCATAAGGCGAATCGGGGAGGGAACTTCAAACCTGGTTTCGGAGCACGCAACTTATGTGTGTGTGGGCAGGAGTTGAGTGGAACTAGTTAAATGCGGGCACGGTGGTGTTATGTGTTTGGTCTCTCGGCGCATAATTGTACGTGGTGGGGGGCTAGGCTGCACTCTAGCGGAGCGTTCAACACGTTGGCAAAAATCGGCGAAAACACCCATTCAAACCAACTCCACTACAAAAACCAATGTTGTTTGAAAAAAAAAGAAACAAGCGTATTTGAGTTAGCGGGAACACGCTCTCGCTCGAGGCTGTTTGATTCATTCCTGTTTGGGCTATCGTGTCGCACTTTATCAAGAGTTCTGTCTCTTTTTTTTTTCCTGTATGCCTGTTCCCTCGCCGGCGTCAAGCAAACTTCCCAACCCCTTGCCAACCCCCTCTGAGTTCTACCTTCCAGAAACTCAACCGCCGGAACTGCCCAGGCAACCCTCAAGTGACTCGCCAACCGGCTCAACGCAACCCTGGAGTGACTCGCCAAAAGTCCCACAGCCCCCTTCCTCACCCAAGGAACAGACAGTCGCCCTCGACCGCAGACACCACGAACGGATTGGTCCCCAAACGCCGCCTAGGCATTGCCAACGAGGACGGCTGCATTTCTTCGTGGGGAGGA